ATAAGGTTCTAGAGTGTTTAAGTCAAGTTCGATGACTTCATCGTATTCACAATCCTTATCAGCAGATAATAGATCACCTTGATAAACCTTAGCGAATTCAGCAATCTTATCACGACCAGTAGCATCTAAATATTCAACCATAGACTTGTTGAATGGGAAAACAGATGTAGTGGCACCAATTTCAGCACCCATATTACAAATTGTACCCATACCAGTAGCAGAGAAAGTATCAACACCTTCACCGAAATATTCGACAATCTTACCAGTACCACCTTTAACAGTAGTAATACCAGCCAATTTCAAAATAATATCCTTTGGAGAAGTCCAACCATTCATTTTACCAGTTAATTTAACACCAAGAATCTTTGGAGCCTTTAGTTCCCATGGTAAGTCAGACATAACATCGACGGCATCAGCACCACCAACACCAATAGCTAATTGACCTAGACCACCAGCATTTGGAGTGTGAGAGTCAGTACCAATAATCAAAGCACCTGGGAATGCATAGTTTTCAAGAACGATTTGATGAATAATACCGGAACCTGGTTTCCAGAAACCCATATTATATTTAGCAGTAGCAGTAGCTAAGAAATCATAAACTTCTTTGTTTAAATCGATGGCTCTAGCTAAATCTTTTTCACCACCAACTTGAGCTTGAATTAAATGATCACAATGGACAGTAACTGGTTTAGCGACTTCTGGTAAACCAGCGGACATAAATTGTAAGATAGCCATTTGTGCGGTAGCATCTTGACAAGCAACTCTATCTGGTCTTAATTTTAAATAAGAAACACCACGAGTAATTTCTTGATCATGTGGTTTATCTAAATGACCATAAAGAATCTTTTCAGCATAGGTTAAAGGTCTACCTAATCTCTTTCTAACAATATCGACATTTTTTAAATTTTCTTTATAGTTAATAAAAGAATGAGTTTCTAATAAATTTTGATTAACTTTTGAATTTCTACCAATAGTAGTAGCAGTAGCTAAAGTACGCTTCAATGGAGTCTTTAGGGTTGAGCGTGCAGACAACATAATAAAAAAGTTTAACTAATAATTGACTCTTTTTATTATTATTTTCAAAATTAAAACGATAATATAAAGTATAACTTAAAAGGGAGTAACTTACTTGATACTTTCTTTAAATTATAGGTTATTACAGTTTTATTTATCTATACAGATTTTATTAATAACAAAAGAAGAATAAAATAATAAACAAAACTAAATAAGAAAAAAAATTATTAAACATCAAAAGAAAAAGGAAGTAAACTCTAAGGGGAGATAAAACAAGAAAATATGAAATCATGATACCTACATATATATATTAATTATAATGACATTTAAGTTTAAATTAAAAGAAAAAAGTGATGATGATTGAAATCCGATGATGAGCTACATGTGTATAAAAGTTGGTATTATAATTATTGTAAACCTTGTGGGTTACAAAACCTATAAAATAATATAATTTCTGTTAATAAAGAAAGTCAGAGGGAAAAAGTATGAGAGATTATTAGCAGAAGAATCAATCTTTTCTTCTTTGCTTAATTTAATGGAAAAGAGGAGAGACAAAGAAACAAACTGAGTATTGGTTGATTTTGGCTTTGGCTTTGTCGTTGTCGTTCTTCTTCTTATTAATTTAAATTGATGCGATTGGCAGGAAAATATATTTAACAGAAAATCGCTATATTCCATTTATTCAGTGAGAGAGAGAGAGCAATAAACTGTTTATAATCATAACAGTGATAGATATATTTTAAGGGGATTCAACAGAATAAAGGCCGTATAAAACACAAAATGCATGATTCAAAATTAAATACATAGCAATGTTTTAAATGGGAAAGGACTAAGAAATTCCCATACAGAAAGATTTAGACATTTGATTGGTGAATGAAAGAAAAAATAAAAAGAGTAGAACTATACAACAAACCGAAGTTGTTCATACGTATATTTGATGGACAGCCAATCATCTTCCAGAAACGTTGTTGGTTTTTCGAGTCGGGATTGGTAAACACGACAACGCTTTTTAATATTAGATTGAATTTTATTGCGGGCGTGCGTGATGATAATTTTTCGTTTTTTTTCTTCTCTTTCGGCACATCTCTAATGGAGAGAGAACGTTCGAAGAACACTTTCCCGATATCACGGATAAATGGGCATGTGGCATAAAAAGTTCTCTGAATTAATTATTGTTCATGTGACAACACCGAGTTCTCGGCGTTCATTTGAATGTGGAGATGAGGGACCCCTCTCCTTTCTCCTCATATGACCTTTATTAAAAAAAGATAAACCCCACTTTATTTATTTATTTTGAAATATCTTTACTAGTATAAACAATACGAGGTAAGGGATAGGGGAAGAGGAGATGCAATATGTTGGTAGTCATTAGATTAGTCTTTGTATACAAAAGAACTGTAAACTATCGGTGTTTGTTTTGTCACATAAATGACGGCATTTTTTAATTGTTGTTACAGTTATTGTGATGATGATGATATATAGATATATTTGATATCATCGGGGGAATTCTCGGTAATGTAAACAAACGAACCTCTCATCGGCAACATGTTACGAGACTTGCAATTATTTTGAAGTGTTATTAAATGTCATTATCAACAACAATAATAATAACAAAACGAGGGTCCTGAATGTGGCTACATCTTTTCCTTTGATGTTTTTTGTTGAAATTATTAAACAAAAATAATTTAGTTATATAATTTAGATATAGCTACTGTTATTATTATGTATTTTTTGCCTTATAAACAATAAGAACAAAATACAACCCTAGGCTGAAATATTTATATATATATATATATATAAGGAATACTTGAATGATCTCTTTTTGAACTGTAATTCCTACTTGGTTTTGGTTTAACCATTTAATTTGAAGTTATTTTTTTATTAATACTCGAATTTTAACTTTTCTATTATATTTTTTTCTTTTCTATAGAATTATATATATAGTTATATAGAAGTATATTATATATAAAAGTTTTTTGTCTTTTCTTTCATTATGAATCTAAATAATTTTGGTTCTTTATTATAAAATGAATAAAAAACAACACAATAGGACATTATGAGATAAAGCGTTATAATATGGTTTATAATAAGGATGAATAAAATTGACTATGATGATGTATAATTTTATTTCTTATTACATTATACACGTGTATGACCAGCAACAGTTTCAATGTCTTCATTATCCGAGGATACTACAGGATATGGTTTTGTTTCATTTTTTTTACCAGATTTTATACTAGTAGAAGTTGATGACGTTGTCTTAATAGTATTTGGTCCATTCATGTCTTGAGTCAAAGTATACGATCTTTTACTGCCTAACATAATATTCATTGTATTGATATGAATAGAACTGTATGATCTTGTTGAATAGGCAAAGGATTGTCTTGAAGTAATCTTAGAGCTTTGAATTAATAGATTTTTCACTAACATTTTTTGTTTGATATATGATATGATTTGGTTTTTTGGGGAAAGGATAGAAGTCTTTTTGTTTGTCTTTTGTAAATTAATTATATGTAAAGAAGGAAAAACTTTCACACTTAATTATTCGATACTATCTTTTATGTTATAATAAATAATAAAGATATGTCAATATATATATTTAAAGAAAAACACAAACTAGATCTTAATCAAATATATAAATTAACTTATTCATTTTATATTAAAAAATAAATAAATAAATATTGACTAAGTCTTTCTTTCCGTTCCTTTGAAATTGTTAATATTACTAAGAAATATTATGTTTATTTTTTTATTTCCTTTATCCCAGATATTAAAAAACATTATTTAGTCATTAGATAGTATTATATCATCAATATTAAGGAGAAGCACTAATATTTGGAATTTTATTATTTTTATTCTCGTTATTACGGAGCCCAACAGAGGGAATTTTAGTAAAACAAAAAGAATAAGCGTGGCAGTGTCACATAAACTAATACAGAACAATTTTTTAATCGCTTATCATCTAAGAATTGAATATTCACACATAAATACAATGAATGGTGTGACTAATCAAATAATTTTTTTTTCCTTTTAATTAATTACGTCTTTTCGTAAAAAGACAAAGAGTGAATAACGGAACGTATTTGAGACGCTAAATATATCTATGAAGTTGGCACAGTTTTTAATTTCAAAAACACTCGCATCGACAAACTCGGCACAGCGCTTCCGCTCTAACGGGAACTGTTCCCCTCAAAATAAAAGCGCTACCGGTGTTGTGGGATACCGCCAAGTTTCTCACTCTCTTATCTGAAAATGTAACTTTTTACGATAAATAATTTTTATATCTTCCTGATTTCGGTATTTCGCATTCGTACCCTTAATTTCTGCCACTGCTACAATTATCGCCCTCCTCTCTCCGCACCGCCCTCTCCAAACTAAATTTAATTCATATGAGAAGGATACATTAGTAACATACTAAATATTAAATACAATGATAAGGGAGCAACGCTTCTGATATTACTAGCTATTTCACATCACTTCACATTCTACTTTTTTTTAGAAACGACAGCCACTCGTTCTCCCTTAATTGATGACATAATAAATAAAATAAATCTCATCGATTTTAATGGACTTGCCTTATGTGGTCTTCCATTAATCCGATACGTCACAGAATAAAGTAAATGATACTTTCTCTTATCTTGCATAATGAAAAAAACAAACTTAACTAAGTGGCAATACGCCTCTTCCAATACATCCTGGAAGAACGGACTTTTAATTATTGAGTAATATCATTTTACTATATTTAAATATCATATATGATCCTACTTTTTTAACATTATTGATAACATGTTTAAAAACTATTCATGGAAATACAGATGAATAATTATTATTAACGTTCAATGTAAAATGATTAACTTTTAACTATTTAATAATGCGAAATATATGTATTATATATTGTAACTTAGATAGTAATTAATAGGGATAAAGATTTTCGTAATGATAGTAAAAATTGGGGCAGTATTAATAAGAATATTTTAACCTTTACTTTATTTTATAGCTGTATCTACATCTAATGGATTCTTATTATGAGTGTGACCATTATTGTTATTACTACTTGATCTTGGTTCCATTTGTAATGATAGTCTATACTGTTCTTCAATATGTGGTACAGATTCAATGGATGTTTCGATCATATTTTGAATTTCGTCCATACGTTTTAATTTATAATGAACTTTCTTATAACTTAAAATTTCTTCAATTATATCAACAATTTTATTTCTTTTACTGAAATTAATAACATCTTTACTACCATGAATGAAATCTGCATTACCTGCATTTGTAAACGTTAAGTCAGATAAATAAACACCAAAAAATGGAACACATGCAACATCTTTAACAGATCTTAATAAACCTCTATATTTAATAAAATTTTTCTTGGAATCCATTAAACTATTCAATTTTTTCAAAATATCTCTATCCTCAACTAATATTACATCCCATGTCTTTTTCAATCTATAAATTGGTGAAGAATATAATGCAGAGACAATAGCTGTCATAGATGAAAAATTATTCAACTCTTTACAATGCTGTGCAACATGAATGAAAAACTGAATATATTTACAACGCTTCTTAACATCAGAATGTTTCACAATAGTTGATGAGACAAAATTCGTTAATGTATTAGCATTTGTAATAAATTTAGTAATATTTCTTGAACCTCCCATATCACAATACTTGTTGCCCCAGACTCTATCTAAACATTCAAACAGTGTCATTCGGGAATATAAATCATGTTCAAGGATAGTTAATTGTGTAGCATAACTATATGGATCAACATCCAATAATTTCAATTTCTTCATTCTAAATAGTGTTGTCCTACTTTGAGACAATCCCAATTTATTACTAACATTAACCACTGATCCCTTTGGTGTGGTTACATTTTGACTAATATTACTTCTACTCTGTTTATCTGAAGAATCATCAATCTTGTTCGGATTCATTAGGACCTCATGTACTTTTTGTAAAAGATCATCAGAACCTGGTATATTTTCACTAATGGCATAATTAACAAAATTTTCAACTGATGATAAGCCATCTTCATAATATTGAGAACTCCAATATTGTTGTAAAAAGATCTTCATAATATTAATAACACGACACTTTATCGGATTCAATTTTTTTTCAATCCAAATATTGTACTCATCAAAACCTAAACCTTCAGGTGGGTACAAGTTATACCTGTATATTAATGCATAAAAGAACTCTTTCGTGGTAAATATACTTCTAAAAGTAATTAATAAAGCCACATTAAATGAAGGATCAATTAATTCGTGACTAGTTAAATGTTCAATTAAAGCTTCTTTGGTCCCACCTCTCACTTTGCCCTTAGAATCATATACAAGGAAATGCACATGATCTGACTGTAAAAACCAAGGTACGTCCTGGTTTTCTATACCACCAATGGAGGTTATAATATTCCTATTTTTCACACCGGCATATACATCAGCATCTTCAGAGCTCGTATCCATCAGACTTTCATCATTATCTGATTTACCGCGGGTGTAGAAATCATCCTCATCATCGTCAGAATTGAATTCAGAAGCATACTCAAACCATTTTTCTTGTTCACCTTTTAATAATTCGGTAGTCAAATTATTTTTCATCATTCTTGCTGCATAATTTAGCAGATTTTCCCTCTCCTCAATCAATTGTTCAACAATCAGACAGGCGGCATCCATACAATCAATATAAGCCTCACAAGCTTCAACGAACTCTTCTGATGTATTTAGAAATTCAATGTTATTAAATTCTACATCTTGTTCTACCAAATGCTTATACAGGTGCATGGACTGTTTTTCTATCTTTTTCATGTTCTTGTTTAACGTAATTCTTTCTAGAAGTTTTGGTTCGTTGAAATCAATCTTATAATTGGACTTCATCGATGAGAATATATACGGATCATCTAGAGTAGTCTGCTGGGTTGCAATAATTAATCTTATCAGAACATCATGGAATGCCTGCTTCACATCATAGAATTCAGTAATAATAGTTGATATTGATGACATCGCATGTCTTAAAAATTCTTCACTTTCAACATCAAGTACCTTTGGAGGACATTTTATCAACCTCTTTAAATTAATGAAGATTGTCAAATCCAAATTTTCTAACATGTCAATTAATTGGGTATTTTCGTTTAATTGTTCATACGTTCTTGAATTAATCTCTAGATTACGACTTTTTGTCTTAGGCTGATTAATAAAATTCTCAGCATCTGTTTTAAAATTTAGACTCAATTTATCGTTTATACTAGTACTGATTCTTCTCATCGCAGTATATGTTTCTGTGCTTAATGGGTATTTAATCTTTCTTTTCGATATTTTAGCCTTTGATGAATTTTTACCTGCATTTGATAATTTTTTATTTATGCTTAAAGTTAATGAAGAGGTAATATCTGTCATAGAATTTGATGTAGACGTATGCCCAGAATTCAATTTAGTTTCTGAAATAGGCAAACCAGATGCAAGTGCAATAGCTGCAGCCATCTTGGGTGGCATTTTTGGAGTTGCCAGAGGTAATGATTCAGAGATCGAAGGTTTTTGATTTTCATTACCAGGCCCAGCTACATCGCTACTTGAGAACTCATTCTTTGGTGTCACAGTAGATGGCACAGAATTAGTAGTTTCTTTATTAAACATAGATAACGAAGAAGAGAAATTGGATGAACCTCCTAACGGAGAATTCAAAATTGATGAACTATTACTTTCTGAAGGATAAATGAATGAAGCAAATGGATTAGTCCATGAGCCACCATTGAACGAACCTTTAAAGAACCTTGGTGAAAATTGAGGCAATATATGTGACTCATTAGTTAATACAGAGTTCTGCAATAAATGATGTAGTAGATGTATATTCTTCATGAATCTTAAAAATTCTTGATCGATATTCTCAAAAATGATACGTAATGATACACTGGAATCGTGATCAACACTATCCAAATAGCGTGCAACATTATGTTTTGTATTATTATTTCCTACACCCTTATTAGGAATATCATGTCCAGAGTTTATATTTGAATCGTAGCTAATTCTCCCATTACTCATAGAGTCATCTCGAATAGATGATGTCGAAATATTTCTCAATTCAGCACGAGAAATCCTTTCATGGGAGATATCATATAAATCTTTTGCGTTTAAATTTATCTTGGATGGAATTAATGTCTCAGTAGTACTAGTACTGGCATTCCTATCGGAATTCATTGGGGTATCAGTCACAATTGATTTATTCTTGGTTTTATCGTCTAAAGAACGATCGATTGAATAAGAATCATCATTATTATTACCAGTTGGTAAATATTTCCCAAGGGAAGGCTTTGACGCTACTAATGCATTAGAATCACTTGGAACTGGAGTACTATGAATTTGCAAACGAGACGATGAATCAAAATATATCATTGAGTTTATATTGATTTTTGACAAAGATGATATTAAGGATTTCAAAATTCTTTTCACATCTCTATTGCACATCTTTAATTTAATTTCTTGTTGGATCAATCTACAGGATATTTGAGTAAAAATTGCTAAGTTTGACATCATATTAAAAAATTTAAAAAAATTGAATCTATCAATCTTCAAAAACATTTTATGAGCTATCTTAGTGAAATGCAATGTTAAATCTTCTAATTCTAACCAAGTTTTAATATCCTTTGAGTGATGATAAAACAAGTCATTTTTTGCTAAAATAGCTTGACGATATAACGGTTCATTTTGTGCTTGTTTCAAATCTGTATTGGACTTCGATGGCCGACTCAGGCTATCATCATTGTCTGTGGATAATGCTGATTTTTTTCTTAAATTTTCTTTGAAATCCCCTGTTGTACTACTTGCTAATGAACCGGTCATCGAAGAAGTTTTACTCTTATCAGTTTGTGTGTTTACAGTCTGACTTTGAGGGTTTGTAGATATTCGTCTAGCACTTAAATTTATAAGATGATCATCAGTTGGGAAACCAAAACTCGTGGCTGAATCCATGTTTGATGGTTTCAATGCTATGCTTGAATCTGTATTTGTCATTGATACCATGGGTAACTCTGAACAATATATGTTTAACTCCTTATTATAATATATTAATTTATCTGATGTTCCAGTGGTCGATTGCAAAGGTACAGGACTCCAAGTAGATATTGTCGGCCTATGGAGACTATTAATTAACATTTCTACTTCTTCTAATGACAATACTGTTACGTCTTCTGATGAAGGTTTACTTGTGGAACTTGAACTGCTATTTCTCATACTAACTCTTGACTGTTTCCTCGTAGGAGGGAACACTACATGGTTTGCACTAGTATTAGGCTGTAGTGGGTCTACTTGTCCCACATCAGTAACTGAACTATTTCGTAGCGAATGGTTATTATTCATCACTAATGGAACTGTTTTATTTGGAAACGACAGATTGAAACTGTTCTTTCTACTTTTACTCCTTATCTTATTGGACGGAGATGGAAGTCCCAACATTCCATTATTACTATTACTATTATTATTACTATTATTATTATTACTACTACTACCATTCGTATTAGAATTACTCATTAATAAATTATCTCCAGTAGTATAACTAGAACGTCTGGAATTCTTTGTCGATGTTGATGTAGATTTCTTAAAGTGACCAAATAAATCATTAAATGGACGTACATAAGTCTGAGGAAACCAGCCTCTTGTGACTTTACTATTATTCGATCCATCCATTATGAAACCATCCCACCAACCGGAACTCGTCTTATTTAAAACATATATCGTTTCGCCAGGTTGGAATGACAATTTAATGTTACTCGAGGCACCATTAGCGGTAGTTTTGTATTGATATACAGCCACCACTATATCTATAGGACGCACTTGCGTAGGGGTGATTGTACTAGTACTATCATCATTATTACTACTGTTATTCTCTGAAGTAGCAGATTTATTTGAAGACGTATAATCATTTTTCTTGGTTGACATTGCTATTGTTGATTCTTGATTTGACATTACTATGAAGTATCTAAAATTTCTATTCTTTCCAATATAATATCTCTTTCAAAATGTCCTCCCTACCACTTTAAGGTCCCAAAAAAAAAAAAATAAATAATATGGTATGATAGAGCACAAAGTTCGAAAATATAAATATATTCGATAGTATTGATGCTCTCCTTTGTATGTATCAAAGGAATAGTATTCTCAGGTTTCTATACCCCTTTCAATTCAAAAAAAAAAATTAAATAATAAAACTCTTAACGCTGGTGTGGGCGTGTGTATTAAAAATTAAAATTAGAAATAAATATTAGATCAAATGGAAACAAACTAACTACTAGTTTTTAGAAAATTGATTGACCTATGGATATCTCTTAAACACTAACTGTAAACGATATGTATACTTAATTCTATACAGATGATTAAAAATAAATAAATGAAAATATCGAATATAGAATGGTTTCTTTAAAAATTCTTTAAAATTCGAAGTGACCTTCTAACTTCGAATAATAAATAATGGTTCTCACTATAATTTATTTTCAAAATTAACTATGGGTTCCTGTCCCAGTTTCTTCACACTGCAACCTTCCTTATTTTTTTTTCCAACTTTCCCCTGTCAATGGTTCCCCCATTTGACGATATCTAACGTATAAAATAATACATATAATTATTTTTTTGCTGTTTTTGCCATCTGCATCCCTTCGTGCGTAGTGTGTATGGCATGCACAGCACGCGTATTATGCACTGTAAAAGATAAAGAAAGAGAGTGACAAATATTTTATTTTGATTTTGTTTTTGCCTGGTGTAGTTTGGTCAGTAAATAGGCCGTACCAACCTGTTAATAAATACACATACCACACATACAAAATTAAATTGTAGCGCATTGAAAAATTCGACTAGGCTATAATAACAAATGGATGGGTTAACGACGAAAGACAATGAATGATAAAATTATTATGCGAGGAATTTGAACATCTTGATTCCATTTGGTTTCGAGGTTTAGGTTTCCAATTTTTGCTGACAATGCCCCGTATAAGAAGGTAGAAACAAATAGTTAGCACATGTCCTTTTTTATAGTTATTATTGTTAGTGCTATTGTAATCATAAAAATACATATCTTTTTATAAATTGAGGTAACTTGTCATATGACGCATGAGGTAATAGAGAGACTTGCAGATAGAGAGTACCTGCTTTTCATCCTTATGTATGTGTCATCAAATATTAGAAGAGTGAATTGTCACTTCATATATAGTTGTTTGTTTTTATAATTTACATCAAATATATTAATTATAGACACATATTATATTTATATAAATATATATACACATATATAAAACTACACATATACAAAAGAAAAATAACAACTAAAAGAAGGGAGGAAAAAAAAAAGTATAAATAATATAGTGATAATTCTCCCATAAATTCCAAGAAAGCAAATAAAACAACATAAAATTAGCAGAAAGAGGTAGGAAACGAAACAAATATATTAGTATTATTATTAATTAATTATAATAGGTTAAATGCAAAGCTAACGTGACTAACAACTGTGGAAGGAGGTGAAGTTAAATGGGAGGTACAACATTATTTGATTAATTAGTTCAATGATCATTAAAAAAATGTTGAATTATTGTTATGACTCTCTTTGAAAAATCTTCTTCAGTTCGTGACATGATTTTCGTTACAATGTTTTGTTCATGTTTATATTTATCAATAATTTCTTTTGATAATTCTAAAGCTATATCATAACCATTATGGCAATTTTCTTCCAAAATTTTATAAGATTTATTTAACAAATCAATTGTTCCTGCTTTCAATAAACTAAAATTATATTCAATAGTATTACCATCATAAGGTATGGCCACCTTATTATCAAAATCTACAATAAATTTCCCATTTGGCATTAAATGATCTCTAGAATGTTCATCACCAGTGAAAAACTTAATTTTATCATAACAGAATGTAGGTACAGCTGGTGAATCAGACAGTAAATAGACTGTAAAACATGATATACCCACTACGGAAACTATTATAATAAAGGCTAGCAAACATGCCATAGTTTGATCGCTCAGAGAGCCTAAAAATTGAAGAGAATCGTTATTTAGTTTCTCATACCATACTAGTTGATTCTTTTCATTACCTTCTTCCTTTATTGTTTTTTCTCTCCTTAGTAAATAATTCTGCGTCTTATTATCTTCTTTCTTTTCAATCCTAAAATTGCCAGTCCATTTATAGATTGGTTTTTCACTTAACTTAGTTGTAATAGAATCCTTGACATTAGGGGTCGAAGGGATATTCATATATGATGAAGATAATAATGAATCAGGTACTTTAACTTCTTCTTTTACCGGAAATGATGACGATCCATACTTTCCATATCCCGTATTCTCTGGTGTCCAGAAACTTTTCTTTCCCATAGTATCTGTTAGAAGATAACTAGAACTTAATTTTTTTTCACCATTTGAATTATTTGAACCAGGACTTAATGGAATTCCAAAATATGAATTAAGTTCACTCATTGAATCATTTTTAGTTTCCTTACTTGATGGTATAGTATCCTTATTGATTTTGCAAACTAAAAAGGGACTCATCTCCTTCTGTGAAGCTGTTTCAGATAGTACGTCAGATTCCTCTTCAATATCGATATCCTTCACCGATATATTTTGTTCAGAATCGTCAGAAGAGAATGAAGATGAAGAGCCATCCGAGGAAGAAGCATCCGAGGAAGCACCTAGAGATGAGGATGAAAATGATATGATACCAGATGGCATACTTCCATTACTATTATTATCTTCATCTTCATCACTACCATCTTCATTATCATCATCATCTTCATTATCATCATCATCTTCATTATCATTATCATCACAAAGATCATAATTTCCCCCAATTTCTAATTTTTTATTTTCTAGATCTTGTTCTAACATTTCAATATCCAAAGAGGAACCAACGTCCTTTTCTTGTTGTTTATTCATAGGACCTCTATCTTTTGTAACCAAGCTCATCATAAAATGTATGTATTTCTATCTGTAAGTTCTTTGTAAATATCTTTCTCTATTTCAGTAACTCTGTAATTTCAGCTGATATACCACTTTAAAAAATACAATACAATACAATACAATACAATTATATTCGAAAAAGGAAGTAAGATATTAAATTATTATTATAAATATCAGTATTTTCACAGAACCACTTTAACTAACAAATATAATATATTTATAATTCTTGTTTAAAGGTATTAAAAGAAACTGATATCACAAATGTTAGATATAAAATCATATAACCCCCCTGCCAAATACATATATATAAATCAAAAAAAAAAAATTATTAAGATGAACCACTAAGATGAAATCGTTAAGCACATGCACACAAATATTAAGTTTATTAGCTGTCCCTGATTTCTCTTTCCCCTCCAAAAAAATAGTAGAAAGAACTTACATATATCTATAACTATATCTATATCTATATTCTGCCTCTTCTCTCTCTCTATTTTTGTATTGAGGGTAGTCACATACAAAATTAAAGAGAAATACCATTCTCTCTTTTTTTTTGAAGAATGATATAAACCCCTAATTTTACCACATATAATATATATATATAAACAAGATCGCCATATACGTTGGGCGGTAAGAATTTTTATATGCACATAGAATATATGTTTCACTTAAATATGCTTAGTCAATTCATACTTAAAGTAACTTCATTGATGAGTTTAAACGTATCATATGACTAATCTGATATTAAAATAATTGCATATATATATATATATATATAATTTCTCCAGTTGATATCCATATCTATATATGTCAAAATCCTACCCCATCGTTACCTTTCAAATATAAACACAATGTACTCCCATCCCAAAACAAAAAAAAACGTCGGAGTATTTTCGCTTTTCGATGAAACGAACGGCGGAATACTCAAATTAACAATCAACCTATCAAATAAAATATTACCGACTGTAATTATTATTTATATCTGCAAGTTTATCACTCTCTCAAGTCAACCCACACCTCACATTGTGTCTTTCCCACTCTATCAATTAATTATTTTGACGGCGCGAAATTCCCCTAACCTCTCGCAAAAACAAAAAAATTAGCAATTTAAAAAATCTATTATTCTGTTTAATCTCCGTTCGTTACCCTCTCGGTATTTTTAATGACTTTTCAATATTTTAGTCTCTCTTTTTTAGCGGCGAAAGTAAATAAATAAATTAAAAGGAGAAGCAAAAAAATCTTAGCCGGGGGATTGCAAACAGAGAAACGCAGACAAACCAGGGAAACAAAAAAATTACATATATTGTTTCAAGCGAATAGTTTTCCACCAAAGGACAAGAAGAAGAATCAAGCGAAAAAAATAAATAAAAATTAGAATACTGATAGTACTAATACTAATAAGATATCTTAATTCATTTTAAGAATTATATGCATAACTCGGAAAAGTCTTTCACAAGAACATACACATATATATCTACAAGATTCTTCATAATAAGTGACTTTTAATTAAGATCAACTACTGTCCAAGAACGAATAACACCTGTACATATTTAGGGATATACCTATTCTAGAAAGATAGTGCATCATTTTACTTCACCTTTTTCCCTTATTTTTCGTTTATTCCTGTTAATATAATAACCACTATAAGTTTACTCACTTTTTGATTTAATTCAATTCATTCGAATAGCAATCTAATACACCAAAAAAAAATAGAAGACTAAAAGATAAAATTACATATAAATACATCGCTTTAATGTTTCCTCGTTTTATTGCTAGACAAAGTTCTTTAAGTTTTAGATCCGTTCCTTCTAGGAGTATAGCATTCCTAAACAATGGTTCTCGTATTCGTGGTCTTAAAAGAGATCCTGCATCATATATGAAGAATCCAAATGGTTTAGAATATAATTCAATAAATAAAATAATTTGTCAAGATAAAGTACGTTCAATTTTAGAATTTGATAAATATAATATTCAATTATCTGATGAAATTATTTTACAATGCTTAACACATAAATCATTTGCTCATGGTAAAGTACCATATAATGAAAAATTATATTTGTTAGGTGCTCAATTTTTAAAATTACGTACTTCAATACATTCTTTAAAAAATGGTAATAGTTCCAATCCAATTAATGGCATGCATTTTACAAATCTTGGTGAAATGTCAAATAAAACTTTAAGTTCAAAACAAAATATTACAAACTTAATTAAAAATGCTGGAATTGATGATATAATCTTTTGGAAAATGAGAGATCCAACTGGAACTTCAAAACTTAATGGTGAAGATCGTGTTATTCATACTGTATTAAATTCTTTAATTGGTGCTATTTTAACAACAAATGGTTCACAAACAGCAACTAAATATGTTGACGATTTTTTATTAAATAAAGATAATAAATTATCACTTATAAATAGTGCTACGCAATGATTTCATTAAATCAATTAAAAAAAACAAACAAAGGTAAAAAAGATAAAGATAATACTACTGCTACTGTTATATAGTATCAACGCAAAATAACACCAGTTAATGGAAACTATTATACATTCACAAACACATATTTAATAACCAGTACTAAAAAAACAAAATAAACGCACATAAGATATAGGAAATTAATCTCCCCTGTGTCTGTACCAATATATAATTCTTTATTTTTATACTGTAAATATAATCAAAACAAAAGAAAGAATTTCATACAAATTTAATTTATTATTATTAAATATTTTTATTCCCGCTATACCTGTTACACAACGAGAAAAGGTAGTGAAATGTCTTTATATGCACAAATAACAATGTCAAATATATTTATATAGATATATATTATAGACCTCTGAAAATAACAACCATAAAAATTGTCCTGTATTTATGTTATTTCAATTTCATTTGTTGAATTACAAACTACTGTCAACTATTTCACCTTAGTTGATTTTTCACTTGGCATCATCCTCAATCCTAAACTGTTGTTATTACCAAAATTTTTAATTTTGTCAGCAAATCTTTTTGCAGATTTTTTTGAGGATTTGGTGGTGTTTGGTGAAACTGCTACAGGTTTACCATTATTGTTATCTATCTTTTCATGTTTATGATCTACCTTTTTTTTATTATTTTTCCATTTTACTGAGGAAGACTTGGAGTTTTTACGAGACCCAATTGATGTAGATGCTGATTTTGCTCCGGCAGAATTTGTGGATGATGAAATGGATGCGTTTCTTGAAACACTGTGATTAGTTTGAGTAATATTATTTTGATTGCAATTATTTTGCAATAATGTTGGTGTCTTATTAAAATCAAAACTATCTTGACGGGATTCACGGAGAACATTTGTACCTTTAGAAGCAGATCTGCTAGGATTTCTGCATGGCGCTACCATTTCATTATCAGACTGTTTAGATTTCCTAAACGATGATCTCTTCGATCTTCGTTTACTTCCATTCCTGACAGGTGTTTTAGTCTTTGATGGGGTTAACTGATAATCAACCTTGTGATTTTTTAAATTTCTTGCTAATTTCAACGGTTTTGCAGCAACTTCAATTTTATCAGTTTCTTTAGTATTATGATTCAAAAGATCTTTGGTAAAACTAAAAGTGGAACCTGGTGTATTGTTGACTCCAGATAAGATCGATGTTTGAAACAAGTCTGTATTTGTCTTAAGTTTGGTCATCTTGATTAAATTACAAAATGAAAATGAGATATCGGCAATTGCCGCATGCACTGTTAATTTAGGTAAAAGGCTACCGTACATCGAATAATAACGTACTGTGGTAATAGCTTGGGAGATTGCAGCTTTAAGGAGAATAAGTTCCTGCTTAAATATTGGAATATCAACCAATGTAATGATTTGGGAACAAACCTTCGATATTTGGAAAACGATTTTAAACAAAGTAGTATCCGGGGATGATTCGTCATCATTCTTATCAGACGCTGGTATATGTTCCGGGTCACTTATGACCTTGTAGAAGTAATTAATCGTATCATGGAATTTTTCAGCCATATGAACAGGGATATACCCTAGGTCATTATCAACATACTGCTCCATCTTATCCATATTCAAACTATCAATTGATAAGTAAGCCAGTGCTGTTGTATTATTCTGTTTCATCTTTGAGATGTACAGTTCTTGTTTCAATTTCTTATTTTCTTCCAACAAGGATTCATATGTTCCATTATTTGCGGTTGTCTTAATAAAGTTTATGTCCTGTGTAGTAGAAGAATTGTCTTTCGTCTCAATGTCCACAATACTACGTTGATCCATTTTTGTAGGCGACTCATCCTCATCATCATCAGACCAATCAATCGATGCCTTAATTGGAACCACATGGGATGTTTGAAAAAATGGATCAGATTTACTAATATCATTAGGAGTATCAGTAGTAACTGCAGACTGCAGCACCATATCATCTACATTTACTTGGGAATTATCTGGTTTTAGAATATCAGATTCAGAAGGTGAATTACTTAGAGAATCTGGAATAACCGCCACATCTATCGTTTCTTCAATTTCATCTACTGAGGGATCCTTCAACTCATCATTTGGGTTAATTTCTAGGTCATTAATTGTTTTAGGAGTAATTGAATCTAAATCTGACATATTAAAACTGGAAACTAAGGTCCCCTCAGCCTCCTTTTGATCTACATAATCTGATTTCAGAATTTTATCCATTCCTCTCAATTCGATTTCTGAAATTAAATCATTGACCAACTCATCAAATCGAACCTCATTCAATGCAGCCAATTTCTTTCTCGCATTATTACGTTTATCAACTGCCTCCTTTTCTCCTTCTTTTAATGTAATTGATTGGGAATCTTCCTCAGCAACACGTCTATCAAGTTCATCATTTACGTCCAAATTCAATTCATAAAATTGTCTAGTTGATAAACTTGATAACTTTGATCTTGCCTTTTCGGCACGTTTAGTTCTTTTGCTGTTCGTTAACTGAGCATGACCTGTGATCTCTATAAAATTTCTTAATTTCGAATAATATTTACATATCTCATCTCTGTATTTAGCATCACGAGTAGGCATATTTTGTATTATTTTGTATTTTATTGCAGTCAAATATGTTATTTATATTATTATTTTTTATTAGATTATATTAGTTCTTCTTTAAAAATAAGTATGAATGGCTGCTATATTCTTCAATTGGAGTGGTATTTATCTAGTCTAGAAATTCCCATGTAAACTTTTGTTTCAGAGTTTAATAAAATTATACCTCAAATATGAGAAACATCGATGTATTTTTCTTTGTAAACTTCTCTTTACGCGTCGCGAGTATCGTTTCTTATTTTGGTAAATTCGTGATGTATACAAATAAATTTATATAGTTACCTGGAGTTAAGCATAACAAACTTAGACAATACGTTTCTGTAAGTTACTTAAGATAATAGCATATTAGATTAGCATATATCAATATATCCTTATATAAGAGATGTTGGTTATTTTATTTTACTTTTTTTTTTGAATTTAATGTGTAAGGGGCGGGGTTCTTGAGAATTATGGATTTCACCTTAGGAAACCTTTCTTCTTTGGTTGAGCAGGTGAAGATTGTGCTTGACTCTGTATAGACATTTCAAGTTGATGTTTCTTTTCTTCTAATGCCTTCAATTGTTTTGTTAATTTGTCCTTCATTTCTTTATGTCTAGCAAATAATTCTGTTTCTGATTTTTGTAATTTCTTTTCCTTTTCCGATACCTTCAATTGGAAGACGTTCTTCATCTCTGCCTCCAATTTCGCTAACTTAGCTTCATGCAATTTCTTTTCTTCCTCTTGTCTCATATTTGGATCGAATTCCTTGAATACAGAATTATCTTGTTTAATACCTAAATTAATTAATTTTTCTGATCTATAATTTTCATATAAAACATTGTTTGTTCTTTCATGTAATTCTTCCAAATATTGTTTAATTAATAGATCACGTAATAATATGAAATCAGATTGAGATTCATTCTCAACTTCAATGATACCCCATGGATATTCACGACCTCTAATAGTTTTTTCTGGATTGGTTGGGTCAGTGACAAAATCATTAGAACCTACTACAGCATAAGGTAAACTTTCATATAATTTATTAGCAACATCAATAGTTTCTTTATCATCCAATTTATAAACTGGAGGTTTAAAAGTTTGAATATTTCTTTCAACAAATTGTTTGTTGATTCTTTCCTTAAATCTAATAATTTCCTCATCTGTTAAGATATCTGATTTAGCAATAACTGGAATTAAATTACATTTTTCATGAATCATTGAACAAAATTCCAAATCAATTTGTTTTAACCAATGTGCAGTTGGTTCAATGAAGTATAAACAAGCATGAATTCTATTATCATCGTTCAAGTTTCTATTAATTTTATTTTCGGAATCTAAATATTGATCATATCTTGAATTAATTTCTTTAATGATTGGTTCCCAAGCATTAGTGTTATCAATAGCATCACCAAACCCTGGTGCATCGACTACTGTCAATTTCAATCTTACTCCGTTTTCTTCAATTGTCTTAGTGATGGTTTCAATCTTAACATTCGAATGTAAACCTTCGTCAGTTTCATTACCATGTTCATCCTCATTAGCAAGATCTAATGGTTTTTCAGGTATTATATTGTTATTATCCTTAATATCAAAATTTTCGTTAAATAAAGAATTAATTAAAGTAGTCTTACCAATACCACCTTTACCAACACATAATAAATTCAAAGAGAATCCATTCTTAATAGATTTTCTATGCCATTGTTTTGGTAAATTAGCAAAACCAACATAACCATTAATTTGACGATTAATAATTTTTATATCCGGTTGATCTGGTAAGATTTGACCTTCATTTAATTTCATTGAATTCATTTGATTATTCATATCTAAATCTAAAGCTTGTGTAGTTGGTAATTCATTTTCTTGTTCAGTTTTAATTTGTGGTTCGACATTGTCACCAGATTGACTTTCAATTTCATTAGATTCCATACTTGAAGCAGTTTTTGGAATTGGAGGAAATGGAACACCTGCAACTTCTTCTTCTTCTTTCTTAATCGAAGCGTTAGAAGCTTGTGAAGTCATATTTTTTGTTTTGCTTTGTTTTCTTCGAACTTAACTTAAGGAGAGTAATGTATCTCTAAACAATTAATAGAAAGAAAGAAAGAGATATATTTCAACTAAAATTACTTTGAATCAATAATAAAACAGTCGTAAAATGAAAAACAAGACAGAAGGAATATTTTAAAATTAATAATCTCTATTCTGGTAATATAGGGATAAAGAATAAATGTAATTGTTTACAAGATCAAATTGTTTTTTCTTAAAAAAACTAATAATAATAACAAATAATATTATTTATTGTATGGGCAAAGTTTTGTTTTCCCTCTAATTTATTTTTATTTTTCTTTGATTCAAGACATCCACTAACAAAATTTGAAACGAAAATTTTGTCCTTCTTTTTGTTTTGTTACGTTTTCCAAATGTATATTGCGAGTGTTCAAAGGATCGCGTTGTCTTTTCTCCTTCATAATAATATCTCTTCGCTCTTCTATATATAAAAATTGAGTAAGATATATTCGCGTTTCTCTTATTCTTGCCAGATAGAAATTTTGTATAGTGATTATTACGGCGTACATTTTTATCAAATCCCGAACTTTGTAGATATATATATTTTGGACCGCCTTTTTTATGACGCCCTACATTTCAATACTGCACGTCTTCGAATATAATTTCACGAAATTGAGGATATCTCTTCGCAATGTTAATCGAACTCGTCGGGGTAGCACGGCAGGGTGATAATACTCTTTACTATCAAGAACACAAAAAATAAGTAAATAAAATATATTATGGCTACCATCTAGTTAAGCTATCCTGTAGAATTACTTCAAAACTATGAAACTTGCCCTACCTTTTCGAATTACCCGCCCTTCTTTTTACCTCTTGCAGTTTGGAATAACCGCTCTCGCCCTCCAAAAAAGTGTGAAAAAACTGAAACTACCCCAAAAACAGAAAGTCCACAAATCTCGAGATTCGATAAAAAATTTACATCCTACTTATTATTATAAACTGCAGTTCGTTGAAGATGATAATTACAAACTCCAACCGGCACAGTAGATATATAACCATCTTGCTACAATTGACACAACTTCTATATCAATAGAATATTGTACTACAATCGTTATAATAACAATTATTTTCTGAAAAACTATAATCAAGATGTATATACCGAATAAGTTTTTCATAACGAATATTAAGAGCAAATAAATGTGGATCAAACTACCCTGCAGGAGTTAAGACGTTACGTAATTTCAAGATTGTATCAATTGCGGTGGCAAATACAATATATTTGATAATAGCAGACACAAAGACCCACCCACATATGGATCTGTAAAACCCATATATATATTATTTACGTAGAATAGAATAATTATGACGATTAGCTAATATGGAGTTAAAAAGTAGACCCTGTTTTGTATGTATGCAACTGTTTAAGGAACTCAGCCGCCATACCGTATTTCATATATTCACACACAAACGCACACCCACACTAACAAAAATGAATAATATTGGTCACTTCTCCCTTTTCGTTGAAGGTAAAACGCCCCGTTTATTCTCTCTCTCTCTCTCGACAGGGAATAAAATTGAATTATTATTCATTACGCACAGTTTCTCTGTCAGTCTTTTCTATTTAATTTGGATGAATATCTGAATGAGGAAAATTATTGAGAGACGAACAAATAAAAAAATGAAAAAGACAAATAGTTAAGAAACGGTCGTGCAAAGGCGGTTCGTCATTTTGAACGTGCAATGCTCCCTTTTTTCTAGAATGTTCTATCTCGCTCTCGAAATGGTCGTTTTTTTCTTTTTCCCATTCATTTTGTCGGTAAAAATGAGAACATTGCTTCGACGATAGTAAGTAAAATTCAATTGAACCTTCAATAATTAGGTAATTCAGTAATATGAATAATACATATATATATATATATTTTCAATTTCAGGATATATAAAGTGGGAAAGTTTGTTAATTTATTTCAATTGCTAACTATATTATATTCCAATTCATTTCTTATATTCTTAAACTTCTAAATAGTTCTTTTTTTTCTTATTTATTTTACGAAAAAACAGATATCTATAGAAATATTCAATCAAAAACAATGTCTAAAGCTGTTGGTATTGATTTAGGTACTACTTACTCCTGTGTTGCTCACTTTTCTAACGATCGTGTCGAAATTATCGCTAACGATCAAGGTAACAGAACCACTCCATCTTTTGTCGGTTTCACTGACACTGAAAGATTGATTGGTGATGCTGCTAAGAATCAAGCTGCTATGAACCCAACTAACACCGTCTTTGACGCTAAGCGTTTGATTGGTAGAAACTTCAGTGACCCAGAAGTTCAAGGTGATATGAAACATTTCCCATTCAAGTTAGTTGATGTCGAAGGTAAGCCACAAATTCAAGTTGAATTCAAAGGTGAAACTAAACAATTCACTCCAGAACAAATCTCTTCTATGGTTCTAGGTAAGATGAAGGAAACCGCCGAAAGTTATCTAGGTTGTGACGTTAAGGAAGCTGTCGTTACTGTCCCAGCTTACTTCAACGATTCTCAAAGACAAGCCACTAAGGATGCTGGTACTATTGCTGGTCTAAACGTTCTAAGAATTATTAACGAACCAACTGCTGCCGCCATTGCTTACGGTCTAGACAAGAAGGGTAAGGAAGAACACGTTCTAATTTTCGATTTAGGTGGTGGTACTTTCGATGTCTCTCTATTATCTATTGAAGATGGTATCTTTGAAGTTAAGGCTACTGCTGGTGATACCCATTTAGGTGGTGAAGATTTCGATAACAGATTAGTTAACCATTTCGTTCAAGAATTCAAGAGAAAGAACAAGAAGGATATTACTACTAACCAAAGAGCTCTAAGAAGATTGAGAACTGCTTGTGAAAGAGCCAAGAGAACTCTATCTTCTTCAGCTCAAACTTCTGTTGAAATTGACTCTCTATTTGAAGGTATTGATTTCTACACTTCCATTACTAGAGCTAGATTCGAAGAACTATGTGCTGATCAATTCAGACAAACTCTAGACCCAGTCGAAAAGGTTCTAAGAGACTCCAAGCTAGACAAATCCCAAGTTGACGAAATTGTTCTAGTTGGTGGTTCTACCAGAATTCCAAAGGTTCAAAAGCTTGTCACTGACTTCTTCAACGGTAAGGAACCAAACAGATCCATCAACCCAGATGAAGCTGTTGCTTACGGTGCCGCTGTCCAAGCCGCCATCTTAACTGGTGACCAATCTTCTAAGACTCAAGATCTATTGTTGCTAGATGTTGCTCCATTATCTCTAGGTATTGAAACCGCTGGTGGTGTCATGACCAAGTTGATTCCAAGAAACTCTACCATTCCAACCAAGAAGTCTGAAACCTTTTCTACTTATGCTGATAACCAACCAGGTGTCTTGATTCAAGTCTTCGAAGGTGAAAGAGCTAGAACGAAGGACAACAATATTCTAGGTAAGTTCGAATTGTCTGGTATTCCACCTGCCCCAAGAGGTGTTCCACAAATCGAAGTTACTTTCGATGTCGATTCTAACGGTATCTTAAACGTTTCTGCTGTTGAAAAGGGTACTGGTAAGTCTAACAAGATTACCATCACCAACGATAAGGGTAGATTATCTAAGGAAGATATTGAAAGAATGGTCTCCGAAGCTGAAAAATTCAAGGAAGAAGATGAAAAGGAATCTGAAAGAATTGCTTCTAAGAACCAATTGGAATCCATTGCTTACTCTTTGAAGAACACTACTTCCGAAGCTGGTGACAAACTAGAAGAAGCTGACAAGGAAGCCATCAACAAGAAGACTGACGAAGTTATTGCTTGGTTAGATGCTAACACTACCGCCACCAAGGAAGAATTCGACGATCAACTAAAGGAATTACAAGAAATTGCTAACCCAATCATGTCTAAGATGTACGAACAAGGTGGTATGCCAGGTGCTGGTATGCCAGGTGCTCCAGGTGCCGGTGCTCCACCAGCTCCAGAAAACGAAGGTCCAACTGTCGAAGAAGTTGATTAATTGCATCATTAATAGGAACTTTCCTAAATTCAAATGAAATAATAAATAAAACCCCCCATACATACATATATATCCTTATTATATAGTAACTCTTAACATATAGAATCTATTACGTATACGAACTTTCCTCTGTTTCTTTTATTTTGATATATGTATTGTTTGCAGCGGTGTTTGCAGCAGTGAATCATAATGCATCAAAAAAGCAAACATAGATTTCGAAATAATTCTTTAATAAATTACGTATTTACGTTTATAGCAAATCGTTAGAGATCTGACACACGAACGTCATATATTAATCAGAAATCTAAACTGGAAGTCCTAACTACATGTGTAACCGATGAATGAATATTTACCAAACTCTTACTTACTTGGTATTCAATTGACCATTTCTACACATTCAGGGCAGCAAGTTGTTTATTCATACCCTCCAACTACTGTTGCATGTGCATCCTCAGTATCCAATAACTTCAACGTCAACAAAACAAGTAACAAACATAAAGATGGAGAATTGAAGTTGCAAAGAACTCACGATGAATCAGACTCTTCATCTTCCAGTTCATCCAGTTGGTCGTCAGGTCTGAGTGACTCCGAATTATCAACAGACGAAGCCGACGAATCCTTTTCTTCTAAATCAGATGAAACAACCTCTTCAATGTCATTCCATGAACGAATGAGTACTGAGCAATTACTAGATATGTTCAAAACAGGGACAGATGGAGTGTCTGAAGTGATGGATGTGCAAATGAATGAGCTCTTCTTTTCAAAGGAAAATTACCAAGATATTGATAAGATATTTGGATTTAATTCAGAATTCGTTGCTGAGTTTTGCACACCTGATAGGGATTTATGCAATACACGATTTGAGTTTACTATAGATGAATTTTGTTTTCTTGGATTTCCTATTCATAACGATTCAAATGGGAAATGGAGAAAATCAAAACACAGCAAGCATACATCTAGAAAATCAGTAAGTATAAGCCATTCGAAAAGAAAGAAATCTGTAACAACATTATCAGTGCATTCATCTGGATCAAAAAATGCAGAGTCATCTAGTACACAACGAAAAAATCCTGAACTAGAGGAGGATGAAATTGTAAAGAACCAGACCCCTACACCTTCTGAACTGGAAGATGACATTAATGACTTAAGTAAATCTATGAATATGTTTCACGTATGTTTTATTTTGAACCCCCCATTGATTGAGTATAACAACAGAGTAGATGATATGTACCAACATGTGGTGGCAAAATTGTCACTTCTTCTTCGTTACATTCAATCAAAGACACAATTCGTTTCAGACGAATGTAGCATTATTCTAAAGGAACGTGAATACGTAACAAAACAATCCGATACATACCAGAAGCTTAGAAATCCCTGGGAAAAAGGTAAATATTTATACGAAAGAATACTAAATAAATCATCTCTGGCAAGAGCTTTAACTAAATGTGTAGATCAAATACACCAAAACGAAATTGCGTCGATTAAAATAGGCGATAAGATGATTTCATTACAAATCCCCATTCAAAATGAGTTTTCGACCTTACCAAATAATCGCTTGGTTGAAATTTTACCACATTCTTATCTTACCTCAATTGTAAATAGAAAATTTATCGAAAGAGCTTCCATGGCATATAATTCTAAAGTTAGTGGCTTCAAAACGTCTAACACGGGGGGTAATTATTCAAATAATGATAGTGCTATAAGGAACAGCGCCGATGTAAGATATTTGTTACAAGATGATGGGGCAGATGATGACGACGATATTTTAGACTATACTCTACTACTTTTAGATGATCCCATAATAATATTAAAAAATTTAGAATCGATGACTCTTGGCAACGCAAGTTTTCAAGATAACAATGTGGGCGATGTTAACACAATTATTTTGAAGGAGTTAATTAAACAAATCCAACCTACTGTCCCTTTAAGATACTATCACTATATCATCACTGATATTTTGCAGATTGAAGGAAGCAATATTACTTATGATATTCTAAGATCATTTGCTCTGCATCTTATATATTGGAGACATGCACGTATTATTATTCCAATAAGTTCGAAATATAAGTATGCTGTGTCTCCTCTGCTGACATTAACAGTAACCTATCTTGAAGAATCTAAGATATTTAAAGATAAATTTCCATCGTTGCCTTCACTAAGTTATTTTTTGGGTAAATTATCTGAGCCTGATATACTTGAAACAACCAAAAATCCGAAGGCATCAAACTTAAGCAAGACTATGGGAAACAATGAGAAACACATCGGAATAAGACCATTTGGTTCTCTTATTCCTAGCAAGGAACATAAGGGCATATATTTAGGCGCTTTAAGCTGGCTAATAAAGCATGGTTATGTCTATCAATTGCTGACATTTGTCTATATTAGAGTTGATAAGAAAATTAAAATGCATGTAGAGGAAGATCTAGAAAAAGAAGGATTTAGAGTTAAAAACAAAGATAAAAAAAATGCGAAGAGTGAAAGAAATATTCAAGACTTGTCATTAAATTCTATAACTAACGAAATCAATTCAAAGACTATTGCTCCTGACCCTACCCAAAAACAGAATAAACCAGAATCTGTCGGAGTGGACAACCTAATACCAGATTCTATAAATAATAGCATTATGAAATCCGATAATCCTAGTAATGATGATATTTTGCACTTTGAGTTTGATGATCCTGAACTACAACAAGATTTTACAATAATTTTAGAACCCGAACGAGCAACAGCACTTGAGAAGAGATGGTTGTATAAATGTGTTTCTGAGCAAGCTCCTGATATACAGCTATTGTTTAAAAGATTACTGAAATATTTTAATGGTAAGACACCTTTAGAGTTAGTGATTCTGAAGGAAAACATATCAAGACACGAGATAAAGAAATTATTCCAGGTTCTAGATAAATACATAATGGAAGTCCTTCATTGGTAAAGAAAAGATACATATGTACAAAAGATAGATAATTAGCCGTACATCGTAGAACGAAGTAAAGCTTAAGCGTAATAAACTTGGCACCTAATTAATAGTATATATTTTACTTATTGAAGTTATATGTCACAATTAGTGAGATACTGATAAACTATTTTGTATTTAATATGTATTTAAAGCATTAGACAAAGCCCAAAGGGCATTCCGCGCCTCGCCAAATTGGGAACCGCGAAATAATAGAATAATAACGGATAATCTTTGGATTATGGTAACATAATCCGTGTGCAAACTTAAAATATGAATATATTATATAGTAATATTAATACACCATTGCAACTATATCTCTCTCTCCAATTAGTTAATCATTGATTTCTTCTAAAATTTGCTCAAAAAGTTATCCATTTATCACCTATTTAAAATTGAGAATCAACAGGGTATCGATTTAGGGAAGAATGGACGAGAAGAGTATCAAAAGTGAAATACTCAGCACATCTTCTGATGAAAGGAGGATATATAAATCAAGAATTCAAAAGTTTAAAAAGTCACATTTCCATTATGTTGTATTATTGTCTTCTATTGCTGCATTACAGTTTATAGCAATTGCATTTTTTACAAGAGGATTCTTATTGACACGACATGTTTTAAATGACTTAACGCCACCTTTTAATAATACGCATACACCTTACGAAGCAGAATTCAACAAAGCTGTCATATTAATAGTCGATGCATTGAGGTTTGATTTTGTCATACCAGTCGAATCTGATACTGCTAACCAATACTATCACAATAACTTCCCTGTTCTTTATGATCATTTTGTCCAAAGCAATGGCGGAACTTCTAGCGATTCCTCTATTTTGTTGAAATTTATTGCAGATCCACCTACCACTACTTTACAGAGGTTGAAAGGGTTAACGACTGGCTCCTTACCTACTTTTATAGATGCTGGCTCAAATTTCAATGGTAATGTTATAGAAGAAGATAACCTCATCAAACAGTTTTATGAAAATGGCAAAGAGGTACTCTTTGTGGGAGATGATACATGGGATGCCCTTTTCCATCCATTTCTGTCTAATAACAGTGAGCCGTTTGAATCATTAAACGTATGGGATTTAGATACTGTAGACAATGGTGTTATTAATTTCTTCCGTGATAATCTAATTAATAGAAATGAGAAATCACACAAATGGGATGTCCTAATAGGACATATGTTAGGGGTAGATCATGTTGGACACAAATATGGTCCAAACCATTTCACAATGAAAGATAAGCAAATCCAAGTTACCTCCTTTATCAATGAAATTATTTCATCTTTGGATGATGATACACTATTAGTTGTCATGGGTGACCATGGGATGGATCATACCGGTAACCACGGTGGTGATTCAATTGATGAATTAGAAAGTACATTATTTCTTTATTCTAAAAGACCCAATGCTTTTAGTGAATCTATCAATGTTGATGACTACTCTGTTACTAACATGGGTAAAACATATAAACAAGTAAACCAAGTAGATATTGTTCCCACACTGTCGTATTTACTCGGAACTCCAATACCATTCAACAGCTTGGGTTGGCCAATTGAGGAGATCTTTAATTCAGAAAATGGTAAACGTTCAATGATGAGAGCTGTCCTAGAGCAATTAGATACATATAAAGATAAAATGGGTATTGACCTTGAAGATGGTTTTGAATTCGATGGAACTAAAGAACATACTACGGAACAGATCTTGAACCGGGCATACCTATCTGGTGATTTTGAGTTAGCTCAAAAGTACCAAACTAAATTCCTAGAAATCTGTAAAAATTTGTGGGCCAGGTTCGATTACCACAGTATTGCAACGGGTGTAACATTAATGACAATATCTACGGTATTATTATTATCTGTGGCAAAGGTCATACCTTCTATTGTAATAGATCAAATGGTACCGGAATTCACACCTTGGATTATAATAATGACATTGGTCTCAACAGCATGTTTCCATGGTATATATTTTGTATACCATCAACCACCATTTTTGAACAGTATACTTTGGTCAACACTTTTTGGTGCAGCTATTGGAATTATTATTGGTTGTTGTATTCCTATATTTGATCGTTACAGTTTAGGTTGGATTTTTATTAGGTTTTTCCAAGATCTAATTGCTGATTATTGGACATGTATTGGAACCTTAGTAGTATTAATGCACGCATTACTCTTTACTTCAAATTCTTTTACAATTTGGGAAGATAAGATTGTTTCATATTTACTTACAACATTTGGTATGCTAACTTTTTATGAATTTGTATTTTTGCCAAAGAGACAATCGACTACAGCTTTGTTGACTGCTAAGATAAGTGAAAACGAGGGTACAACTTCTGGGGTGAGCTCGTCAGTTGCAAATTCAAATTCGTTACCCCTTTCTAGATTTGCTAGATTATTAGGTGGCTATCATTCATTGGTTTTACTTCTATGCACAAGACTTGCATCTTTAATTACCATTTGTCGTGGCGAACAAGGCGAATATTGTACACCAACATTTACTAACATTACCAATTACTCAAATTGGTGCATGATTCTTTGCTTTTTGATCATATTTTTAATACCTGCTTGCATTAAAGGTTATTACAACCTGACGTCATCATATCAGGCCGCTGCGCCAATTTGGATAGATATATTCCTAAAAGGTATTTTGTTTATTAATTTCATTTACTGGGGGTTGACAGCTGCTGAGAATACTGTTAGTGACTTGGATTATGATTTTACTATAATTAAATTTACTATTGCAAGAATTATAGCAGGGTTCACGCTGATTGCTGTGAATGCTGGCTGGTTGATGGGTCCACTGTGTATTAAATTGAATGTACACAACACTGATGTAAAGTCACATCAAGCTACAATATTAGGATATACTAATATATATGGTTCAGAATATTTCTTATTGGTGATCAACACTTTGATGGCCTTAATGTTATATAATAAACCATTAGCTCAAGTTTCAATTTTCCTAATGTGTAACCAACTGTTATCGATCTTAGAGATCATTGATTTATTAAAATTGAAAGAAAACATTATTGGCCCTATTATATTAGGACTGTTATCGTATCAACAATTTTTCTCAACCGGCCATCAGGCTACAATTCCATCAGTTCAATGGGATGTTGGCTTTATCCTAACCGATACTATCACTTTCCCCTTCACCCATATTGCGATATTGTATAATACATTCGGACCTCACATCTTAGTAGCACTTTCCGTTGCCCTATTAACACTATGGAACCAACCACCAGACGTGTTGAAACCTCAAACGTTATTAGGTAGAATAGTCTCGAACAGTGGTATTCTGCTAGCATACCATTCTATATTATGCTTAAGTTCCTTTATCTGGGTAACACATTTCCGTAGACATCTGATGGTTTGGAAAATATTTTGTCCAAGGTTTTTGTTTGCAGCTTTATCTTTAATTGTGACACAAGTAGTAGTAACCTTTGGTACTGTTGCTTTTGCTAGCAGTAGATTGATAACGCATATTAATAACATATTTTGGGGTTAATCCTAACAATAGGTGAGTAAACAGAATAAAAGATATACATATATCTTTAAATTACCTAAAGTATAGTATATATTTGTTTATACGTTATGATAAATATCAATTATAATAAATGGCACTCATAATTTTTTTTTAAAACAGAAGAGCTTCACATATTGACAAAAGCCGTAATTACATAGTTTGTACTAAAACCTAACGCAACACAAATCTAAGCATATGCTCATATCTTTTAAAGTATATAATGTTCATTAAAAGAAAACGTTATCCAAATTTTCAAACCCATCTCCAAACTCGTCGTCAAACCCATTACTGAACGGTTCATTCTCGTTAGCGTTATATTCAGTAAACATATCTTCCAGTAAGTTATCTTGGGGTTGTTGTGGTTGTGGTTGTTGCTGCTGTTGCTGGGATTGCTGGGATTGTTGCTGGGTACCAGTATTCTGTGATAATTCATTTGAGGAACCGTTTGTACCATTTTGTACTCTACCAACAGAAAGTTCATTGGATTCATTTAGTGTACCTGTGGTATTAGAATTAGTAGCCTGAATTACCCCTGATCCAATATCTGCGGAATCTGCCGCCGCTACCGTTGTTGCCGTTATTGTCGTCGAAGGTAATTGAATACCTGAAGGTAATCCATTATTATCACTAATACCAGTCGATTGCCGTATTGTCGTTGGATTGGTTAGTACATTATTTGCCATTGATGTTCCAACAGCTGAAGTTGTTGTAATCCCAGAATCGACACCTGGAGCCATCTTTGTATCTATCATTCCTGTTGAAAATTGTAATGAATTTCTTTGTTGTGCCTCGTCTATCCTTTGTAATTCCAAATCACGCAATCTTTGTTCTTCAATACGTTTTTGTTCTTCCGCACGTTTCTGTTCTTCTTCTCTTTTTCTTTGTAATTCTTTTTCTTTTCTTTCTTCTTCTTCTTTTTTCTTTTGTTCTTTAATCTTCATATCTCTCTCTTGAATCAATTCCTTATATGTAGTGTCCCAATAATCATTTGGTGCTTCACTTGGATCTATTTTTAAAGATGGAAATTTCTTAACATGTGTAACAATACGTCTATCCTGAGAACGTAACCCATGAGTATCACAATACTGTCGCGTAGCATCTTCTGTATGTTCCAATGTGGCGTATACAGAAATATCGTTATCTAATTCTTTAGCCAAATCCAAATGAAGTTCTTGAACATCTAAATCTGCAGATGTCCTCTTCAACTCATCTAATAATGTTTGTTCTTGTTCTACTTTTGTCTTGAAAGTCGTAATAATATTTCTTAAAGTTACAGGGTTCAAAGACTGGAAAACCCTTGGAGGTTTAATCTTTGATAAAGGCACCGGTTGATTTGTCAAAGCATTCATGAAATCTGTAGACAAGATGAAATTTTTTAATAGATTAGCTCTAAATGATATAGTGTCACTTTCATCATGTACTATTGAATTCACTTGTTCTGGTTTCAACCGATTTGCTTCATTGTCCTTTATTTGTTGTTGTTGCATCTGCTGCTGCAATTGTTGCAAATGTGCTTGTTTGTTACCTTTAGCATGATGACTTCTTTTCTTTTTAATCACAGCCATACTTTAATTATACTAGTATATTCGACCGTACCTTTTTTATTTTTTTGGTTCTTTTTGTATTTTATCTGTATACTTTTTTTTATTCAGTTTAAAAATAGATAATACCTGCCAAATATATTTTCCGGGATAATGTCTTTTCTATTAAACCGTAGCTTCTCTAACCTAAATGTAACTATGTCAACATAGTATCTCTTTCAATAAACAATTACTAAACCTGTCTGTCTGTCTGTTTTGACGAATAAATTCAATATCAACAAAGGAAAAAACACGGGAAATTTCGGTCATTCTCAACGACTAACAAATATATATCATCATGTACGACTATACCTAAACTACAGAAAATTTCGTTTTCTCTTTTGGGTTTTTAACGGCCATTTCGGGAAATTTGAAGCGCAAATTGTAAAGAAGCCGTCCACTTCCACTCATCTCATTGATTGGAATCATCCGACGAGACTAAATAGTTATATTTATTTATTTATATTTATATAAAGGTAAAGCGCGGGGAGTGCGGAAGTTGGGCTTGACTAATAATATAAAGCAATTAGCTAGAGGTTATAGATAGCAGAAGAAGCAATATACATTCCGTAGATCTCGAAGTTCATTGAGTCACAGATATATATATAAGTAGATAAATAAATATGTGTAAAGTAATGATAACATATAAGATAGTTATCATGTATAAGTATCTTATATATGAACGTGAGCTAGTGGAACTTTTCACTTGAACTTTTTAGGGGTTACCCTGAGTATACAAACTTTAAAGTTGTCAGATGTAGTGGTAAGTTAGCCGTATTTCGGCGGTTGGAGAAGGCAGGGAAAGAGATGAGGGAGTTTTAAATAACTCTAAAGTAGATTTAAGATCAGATATTTTAGAAGATGTAATAAATTTTAAAACATCCTTATATTCATATCCACATCTATATATATACACAATCTGTTGATAATGATTACGCTGTTTCGAAAATACCCGCTAATATTCTCGATAGTATACTTATTTCTATACCAGGGACTCGGGTCTGCTATCATTGGCGGAGGGTCTGAATTTGGTATAGCCTATGGTATGTATCATAACTCACCACATCTCGTAACATTGTGGGCGTTTCCTAATACATTGTCTGGTGACTGTGCATTGACATTATTTATTCAAGTAGGTCTTACTTGGGTAGTTGAGGAACTTATGGTAGGTTATGATGATTATCTAGATAATACATTTGAATTCCCTAATTGGTTTGTCGAGTTTTGGTATAATTTGGTCGTAATTAAAACTGGTAAGTTTAGTAGATTCATGCAATGGTATTTTGAAATTAATAATGGTGTAATGCCATATAAAGATAATAATAAGTTTAGTAATAATAGAGATATTGATTTAAAGAAAATGTCCTTATTTCAGTTCTTAAAAAGACATGTCATTAAATATCCAAATGAAAAATTATATTTTAATATCATTGAATGGTTATTACGTAAAGTATTAAGGGCTATGTTATTTGCTGTGACTCTATTTATATTTGTTTGGCCTATTTGTATGGGTATATTTGCATCAATTGGTACTAAAATAAATGGACATGATAGATATTTTAATAATTATCCAGAACCTGAATTAATGAAACTTTCTTATGGAGCTGTCATTGGGATGATTACGACCCCATGTTCAGTGGCTGTCATTATACTTCGTAATAGAATTTATGAAAGAGTCATTAGAGATCGTAGTTTTATCTTTAAAGTTAACACTAGTGATGCTACTCGTATTTTAAATTTCTCAATGCCTAATAATGTAGAGGAACTCCCATCACAATTGTTCACTCCACCACATGAATCAGATTATGATTCAACTATGGGGACAATAATGCACGGAGATTTAGAAATTGAACAGGAAGAAGAATACATTAATGAACACTTAACAGAAGAAAAATTACAAAGGTCCACTAGCTCTCCATCGACTTCCAATTCGATGGTATCATCATTACCAAAGAGTATAATTGATAATTCAGTACATGAATAATATACTATCCATATCTCTTCTTTTCTTTTCACATATTCATATTTTAATATTACTATGGTTACAATACTCAAAATTATTTTATTCATCAATTAATCGTTCTTTGATCACTGCATCCCTTCATTCCTATTTTTTTTTACACTTGAAAAATAAACCATATTTCTGATTCATCATTTATATTGATTGATGCCCAGTCCACTCTGTCATATACATATACATAAATATCCACATACATACATGAATCCATAGATTCATACATTAGACACTCAAAACATCATTTAAAGATCCATTTTTACCAACAAAACAAAATAATTGGAATATAATTAAATTTTGATCGTGTTCAAATTATTTTTGTTTTTTTAAAATATAATCATACAATTCTTATATAATTACATAAACATAAACATATTACTATTTTATTTTGTTTATTACCGTCATACTTTAATTGTTGGGTATTTAGATATTAATTCATTGTTATTGCATTTCCAGAACTTATCATTAACAATATCTTCAAGAGAATCATCAATCTCATTAATATCTTCATTATATTCATCTTCTAACAATGTGCACATTAAGTAATCTCTGATAATGTTAACGAATTCTAAAGTTTCTTCGAAAGATTCTTCTGAACTCTCAGAGTCTTCGTAATCATCTTCTTGTCCAGCTTCTTGTCCAGCTTCTTGTCCAGCTTCTTGTCCTGTACTTCTTTGAACTGAACTGTATCTGTTTTCGACCATATTTAATGTACTGTTACTTACTGGGATTGCATTTACTACCAGGCCATTTGGCAAAGTATACGGTAATGAAGTGACAGCAGCTCCATGAGTAGTAGCATTAGCAGCTGCAGATGAAGATACAGATCCAATAGCCGTTGAAGGTCGGGTATGTTGTTGATGAATCATAGACGGTATCATTGGGTAGGATGATATAATGTTTGAAGTACTGCCAGCAGCTGTACGGCCCCAACTGTCAATAACATTCTGTTGATACCTTGGTTGTAAACCTTGAACATCTGTCATTGATGGCAACATCGTAATCTTATTATTAGTACTGGCACCAGTGTGAGGTACATCCAGGACAGTTGTCTGTGGATATCCTGTTCCGCTTAAAGGAGGTAATTGAGCATATCCACTAAACATCGGAGCATGTTGTGTTTGCATTGGTATATTACGATGTTGATAGGTAGTCGCATTAGAGACCATATTATTGGATAATTCAGAGAAAAATCCGGCGGCGTTTGTTGCTACTTGATGAGGTAAGGAGTCCATAACTGTTGAAGGAGATACCCTTTCCTGTGAGTTCGTTGTCACACTATTGTTGTTATTGTTATTAATATCTACAGCACGATATACACGAGGATCTTGAATCGTAGTTGGGATACCTGTTATAGTTTGACCTATTACCATTTGCAATTGATTATCAAGTCTATTAGTTAAGATTGGTTGGTATGATTGAATATCATTAGTGATGAATTTTCTAAAACCATTATTTAAATGAGGTAAGCTTGTCATCGAGGTGGAAGGTAAACTTCTTGACCTTTGATCTATACTTGGTGAAGTAGATGATAATCCATATATTATTGGGTGTTTATTAACTCTTTTCGAACCAACTTTTGGACCTCTCTTCCGTTTTGCAATATTACCATAATCCAAATGGATCTTTAAATGTTTCTTTAAATCTTGAGGTCTTTTAAATTTCTTAGAACAAGATGAACAACTGAACGGTTTCAATGGAATATGTACTCTAATGTGAGAAGTGATGTGATCTCTCTTTTCTGTCTTCGTTTGACAAGTATCCCAATGACAATCCAATTGCAAATTTCTTTGAGATTTTCTACCAACATGATCCTGACATAAATGATGATATAATAATTCAGGTTGAGAAAATTGTTTATCACAATGATCCCATTTACACATTAAAATCAATGGTTCCATATCGTTACCTCCAGCACCACCACTACTACTATTAGGTGTGGATGCACCACTATTATTCATGTTATCGCTGTTATTACTACCAGTCTGTGAACATGTAGGGCTAGGTAAATTATGGTGATCAATAGTTTGGTTATATTTAGACACTGAAATCGAAGATGGAGTCATTACAGTAGTATCAGATCCCTCGATGGATGAAGAATCAGTAGTCAAATTTGTTACAGTTCCGGTAGTGGTAGAAATGGATGGAGTAGCCATAACAGTTGTTGCTGAAACAGTTGTAGGATGAGTCTCAGAAACTATAGAAATGTTATTCTGAGTAATATAAGAAGGAGGTGTGGCAGCATCTAAATTATTTAATTTAGTAACATTTGAAGTAGGACTACTATCTTCCGAAATAGGGCTAATTGCCGAATGGGTTAAATCACCGTCATTGTGATTATTATTTGGTGGTGTAGCTGCTTCCATATCAGATTTATAACTATATCCATTATTATTGTTATTGTGGTGGTTACTAGTAGTAGTATTAGCAGGAGTATTGCTTACTGCGTTATTTAATAAATCATGTAATGGTACCAAATTTGGTTTAGCAGTTCTGTCCAGTTTTGTCATCGTTCTACTTGTTAATAATATAACTAACAACTGGTCCAATATACAATTATGTTTTATTTGTTTTTTCTTCTTGTGTTTATAAAACAAAAATTTGTTACTATCAATAGAAGTGAAAAGATTCAGTAATAAATATTTTTCCTTCGAGTATATATATATTTATATATATAAATGTTTTGTTTTATCCTGGTGAAGAACTATGCAGGGTCGTTCGTTAAACGTATTACAAGTGACATATAACTTTTTACTGTTGTATGTCGGTTGCTCCTCCTTTATTAAAAGGTTGTTGTTCCCATCAGCGTCATTTCGTCAACCGTTTACTTCCAAAGCCACGATTGCTATTATTATTGACTATTACAATTTTTCTCAAAGCCTCTCCCTCTCTCTTTCTCTCGCACTGTCTGTCTCGAAAGTTTTTACATTAATTGTTTTTTATGTTGGAAAAGCTACACAAATACCCGCAGAACTCAGTAATCAGCATGAGTTAAAATTCTATTGTTTGAGTTGCTAATTAAAGAAGTTTCTAATAAAAGTCCGTAGAACATTTGCTCGAGGTAAAAACGGAGTGGACAGTATTTCGTGCAGGGTGATAATAATATAACTGTGCGGGTAACACTTGATAAATTTTGTCGTTTCTTTTTTTTGGAAATTTAGGGTTATTGTTAGGGTTATTTGATACAACCCTAGGGTTGTTAATATTGAAAAGTTGAATACCTTATGAATTCTTTCGTTCTATAGTTGATTATCTCATTATGCAACAGCATTCCATAGCTACATTGGAAGAGCATTAAGAAGAGAAGTTTAACAAAAGATTGATATTATTTACTAGAGCTGAGCGTTGAGTATAAAAGCATTATAGCTATAATCATTACAAGGTATAGGGAAGTACAGCATTCTGCTAAGTTCAGCCAAAGATATCATTATAATAACAAACGTCTTGAAAGTTTTTACACTACTTCACCGACTGCTTCCTGTAGAATACCTATATTACACTATTAATATTATTAATATCCTGCATATTCTAATTATTGATATCTATTTTAAGAAATTAATCTAACAAATACATCCCCTTTTAATTATCCCTTTATTATAGATATTCATTACAGATATTCATTATACACCAACAAGACATACAGAAATACATATCACATATAACAATGCAAGAAAGGAAGCATACATTATCGACAAGCCATCACGTTAAAACGTTAAAACAACAACAATATGATAGAAATTTAATTGATTTTGTCATTGAATTAGTAAGAATCAATGATCATGATACGTTGGCATATATTGCTAGAACATCCGGTATACCGCCTCAATTGAGACATATCGTATGGCCGATCTTATTAAAATATCATCCAATGTGTATAGCCCCGAATATTCTATCAAATATTGTTTCATGGGATCCTACAATGAATACCCATCATATGATTATTGAGCCATCAACAAATAGATCCAAAAGAGAAAATTCTGATAAACGTTCAATAAATAATAATGGTAAAGAATCACAAGATGTAAATTCAACAACAACTACTACTACTACTTCTACTACTACTAATAATAATAATAATACTCACTTAAAAGATGATAAAAAAAATAAAAATGAAAGTGCTAATACTAATGATAGCAATAATGACAGTGAATTTGATAAATATAATGAACTTGATAATGATAATGAAATCGATAATGATGATATTGCCTTGGAGAAAGCAATTGTTCATGACTTACAAAAATATTTCAAGATACGAACAAAGATCAAAAATTCTGCAACAACAACAACAACCACGACACCTAATAACAATAGTAGTAATAATACAAATATAGACACTTCGTTGCATAGTTCAAGAACATGCTCCCATAATGATTCAGATCTTTTAACGACGGCAAATGAATTAAAAATCATTGATGCTTTAAAAGATGCAATCCTGAAATTTACCAAAAAATGGTCCAAGGTTTATAAATATGAAAGTGGTCTCTCATGGATAGCTTTGGGTCTCGCGGAATGGTTTCCAGTTCTTCAATCGTCGGATTCTAATGACGAATATAGTCATAATAATAAATGCAATGGCCCTGTTATACTTTCAGGTAAAAAGCATGTTCATGGACCTTCGCAACCATCTGTCCCAATAACAACAAACAATTCAAAAGTTACCAACGAAGCCATTATAAATGTATTAGATCGGCCTGATAATGATATGGCTGCATTATCATCTGTTTCATCGACAACAAAACCCACCACAGCTCCTACAACTTGTCATAAACAATCCACTTCATTAACATTCTTATACTCTGAATATCCTTTACCAGAATCCTTGCAGGATCAATTACCAGGTGAATACATCTTCAATTTTGTAGATATGTATGAAAGACTCCTGTTGGTTATATTACATAGTCCAGATAGTGAAATTTCCACAGAGAACATCAATAAAGATTTCCCATCAAAATCATCCTATTTATCGAACTATTTCCCTATTCTTTCTGGTGGTGATCTTTCATTCCAATTTCAATTATTTTTCAAGGTCTTTTCGTCTATCCTACCTGAACTTTTTCAACCACTAAATGATGAATCATCATTACAGCCAAACTCAGTAAGGTCATCTTGGTTATATTGGTGGATTAAATGTGCTGGTGCTAGATCATTACAAAGACAGGATCGTGGTCGTATTTGGGATTTATTGTTAGGTTGGAGACCTAAACCAAATATGGATGCAATGAATTTTTTCTTAAATTATAATAATCACAAAGTATTTAGTCAATTATACCATTGTCCACCCCCTGGACTTAATGAAAATTTCCTTAGATCCAAATCTATTGATATTACATTTGTTAAGAAATTATTAAAAAGTGATACATTTTGGTTCCCTGATCTTGATAATATCCCATTAGGTTCCGAGAAATTTCCATATGATTTTAATGTATTTAAGGAATTATTGACGCGTAACAAATATGAACAAATTTCAAAGGAGCCTCCTACGAATGATGATTTTATGACACCTGTAAGTGCAACGGTTGATTCAACTGACTTACAACAAGATCTTTTAAAATCTGTTGCCTCCTCTCTTTCTAATTATTCATTACAGGATCAAAAAGATGGTTCAGTCGATAGTACGAACAGTAATGGATATGACAATTTAGCCATGTTTGAATATTCCCAAGTCCATCCCCATATACAGGTCATATTTATATATATTGCCGTGTTGCAATATAATGAATTTAAATTATTAGAATTTGAAGAGACTGAAATCTTAGAATTCTTAAATAATTTACCAATGTTCTCTAAATCTGAAGATTCAAATTTCAGAAATTTATATCTTGGTACCGATAATATCCCGAGTGACAATAGTCATCAGCATGTAATAAATTCAGGGAGGAAAAGCACAATGATATCAAGAGCAGACGATAGTAGTAAGAGATACACAAGTGGTGAATTATCTACAGGGCTAACAACAAGATCATCTTCATCGAGTTTGTCAAGTGTCTCAAATACTTCTACAACAAATACCACAGGTAGTATTGTTTATAACCAAACAGTGAATCAAAATTCTCATATGATGATTGAAGTAGGTAATGATGCCAAGGCATCAAATTCATTCAACGATTTATTGACTATTGCAGGTGATATTTGGAGGAAATGGTTATGGAAAGAATTAGAAGAAAGTGTAATCAATGATCTCGAATAGGGCTGTAACTAACAATGAATTATAGATATTTAATATTAATATATAGAGAATTATAGCTTTGGTGATCAATTGATTGTTCTCTTGTAATTACCAATTTACCGATCTATCTATAAAATTACATAAAGAATGAATGTTTGTTTACCTTTTATTCTCTTTTTTTGCAGGGACCTAACAAATTACGTGTGAAGGTTAAAATAACAATGAGAGACGAGCGAGAAAAAATGTAAAAACGTAAAAATGTGGGTACTAATTAAATTTGTTATTATATATAAGTATTCCTCTGGTAACAATGACGTTAGATGGGGGGGAAAACGAAAAAAAAAAATACATTAAAATTATTGATGGAACTTCGAAGTAATTAATATAAAAAAGATTGATTAACGATCAGGAATAGGTGTAAACTCCGATACTACATAGAGAGTGAAGTTAAATAGCTATCCTTTAGAATAACATTATCAGATAAAATAAACAAAAAAACGTAACAGTTATTTCGGTTCGTATCAATCTCATCTCATAGATACTATTGTGGATTTCTATTCTTTGTATTATCATATGAAAAATTAAAGAAATAAGCATCAATTCTAGCATATTGATTCATCATATAGAGCTGTACAAAAACGAAGAAGAAGGGATAAATACCTGGTAAAAAATATAAATATATTATTAAGAAATGTCTATGTTTTTATCAAGTGTCAAAAATTTTGTTCAATCACCAACTGAATTAAAAGTCAAACAAGCCACGGATGAAGATGAAAATTTTGGTGCAACAGCTACGCTCATGAATGAAATCTCAGTTTTAACATATAGTTCTAAGACTTTAAAGGAGATCATTCCTATCATTAAGAAGAAATTATTATTGGGCTATAATAAGAGAATCATTAATCATAAGAATTCTATTATGTTATTAAAGACATTAACATTAGTTTCTTATTTAATGAATAATGGTTCTAATGATTTTGTTAGATGGATTAAATCAAATATTGATGTATTCGTTCATTTAAATAAATTATCACTAAATGTTACAGATAAGAAAAATGATGCTGGTATAGTGACACAAATCGTTGCTACATCTAAGGATATAACACTTTTAATCAATGATGATGATCTGTTAGAGAAACGTAGACGGGATGTTGTTCAATTTCGTTCTAGTATATCTTCGCCGGGCAGAAAATCTACAGATAATAGTCATTTAAAAAGCATTGAATTAACAAGAATTGGTTCAGAAAATAAATATAGTAATAATGACCCAAATAAAGTGAACAATTCTTCGAGTATTAATCTTGGTTCTCCACGAATATTACAAAGTAGTCCATTGCAACGAAATTCACATAGTTTAGATTTAAGGATAAGTAGTAATCCTCTTCGAAATACGGGAGAATATTCTAGAACATCATTAGGGCCTGTACGAGAAGAAGATACTGGTGATTCTTCAGCATTACGTGACCTACGCGGCTTAACGTTTTCTAATGAGCATGATGGAGGGATCGACATGGATGAATTTAATAGATCAAGACAAGAGGCAGTTACTACCAGCGGGACCAGTTTCCGTTCAAGGTTTAAAAACAATATACCATTCGTATAATGGAGAAATGATGAAAACATCGGTGAGCTTTTATTCATTTTATTTCCTTGCTTATTTTACGAATTTTTCCACTTTATTACATAAGAGATGAGACATTCATAAGAATGTGTTTTTCTTTATCTCTATTTTAACTCAGCATAATCATAATCACAATCATATATATATATACTAATTAATAGAAAACACAAGAAATATATATCACGTAAAATATTCCATAATGGTATCTATCTATACAGACATACTTCTCATAATGAAAGATTCGTATATAGGGAGTTTGTATAGACGAAGCTCTTCTATAGAGGATGCCACTTCTTGCCAATTAAATACTCCGAGCCTAAGAAGCGAAAAGAGTTCACCCAATTCTCTTTCTATGATATTTAGGCGGACTTGCTTAAGGGACAAGCAAATGAAAATTTCTATAGGTTCTGCCGAGGTAAAAGAGAAAAACGTACCATGAGCACGCAAACTAACAAAAAATAAACCAAAATTATTTGGATGATTATTTTGTTCAGCGCAACTGAAAATTTTTGTTTGTTAGACACTCATACTTTCATCAGTAGCGGTTAAACAAAGGAGAGAAATTGCTCTAATATATACATTTGATTGTGATTATAGTACAAGATTACATACATATGACAGAAATGCATCATTGATTAGTGCAAATGATATCTATTTACACGATTTAAAAAACTAAGATGGCTCCCATTCATTGATTCAAATAAGTATATATATATAGACAAGAGCTACAATATGAAATAAAGATATTTCTACAATGTACCTGGTGACTAAGAATACTACCAACACAACCTATGAATAAATAATTGAAATTTGTGTTCTTCAATTATTTAATTATACCTTATTCTCATTTATAATGGATAGGATTGGACATTTCCAATTCCCGATCACGTGGCGCGAGCCGTGCAACACGATATTCCCGGGAAAACTAAAAGCAAATTGCGCCATCGAATATTCCAGCAAAACGCATAAATGAATAAATTAAGGAAACAGCGAGCACGGGGCGGGTATAGCACGGAACTGTCAGCAATACTGCGCCGTTTTCAGTGTGTACAAAGTAATAAATGATAAATAACACACAATTTTTATCTTTCTCTATTGAGAGAACCACGGAGTTTCTTTTCATTAGTAACGTATGTTGAGCCATTTAAACTAAATGAGAACAATGATTGTGCCGCACTTAATAGTAAATGATAGCATTTTAATTTGTGTGTGGAGAGAAAAAAGCTTGATAGTAAGCTCAGCTGCATTTTGGGGCTGTTTTCTTCTCTTTTTTTATTTATGTGAGGCAGTGGAATATATGGCAACAACAACAGGTGGCAAAACTATCAAAACGGTTATAAAGAGGATATTTTGGCTCATAGTATAAAAAGGGAGATTAAATTCAAGGGATTTTTAAAACGTTATTTTGTTTTTCCTTTCTGTCATTTTTATTTTACTTTTTATTTTATTTTATTTTATTTTATTTCTTAGATGAAACTAGGCAGATAAGAACAAACGTGTTAATCATTTTTAATTTATTAACATATCCATAAATATACGCTTCTTTCTTTACGACAGCTTATATTGATTAACTTTTAATTATTATTATTATTATTATTTGAAAACTACTATAAACAATGCAAATTTTTGTTAAGACTTTGACCGGTAAGACGATTACTTTGGAAGTGGAGTCTTCCGACACTATCGATAACGTGAAGTCCAAAATTCAAGATAAAGAAGGTATTCCTCCAGATCAACAAAGATTGATTTTTGCAGGTAAACAACTGGAAGACGGTAGAACTCTGTCTGACTACAATATTCAAAAGGAGTCTACCTTGCATTTGGTGTTGAGATTGAGAGGTGGTATGCAAATCTTCGTTAAGACTTTGACCGGTAAGACGATTACTTTGGAAGTGGAGTCTTCCGACACTATCGATAACGTGAAGTCCAAGATTCAAGATAAAGAAGGTATTCCTCCAGATCAACAAAGATTGATTTTTGCAGGTAAACAACTGGAAGATGGTAGAACTCTGTCTGACTACAATATTCAAAAGGAGTCTACCCTACATTTGGTGTTGAGATTGAGAGGTGGTATGTGAGATAAACAAATTCGAGTACATCGAACTATCTACTATGAATATGTAACGATAAATCTTTTCGCAATAAATATTAAAAGTATTCTCTCCTCTTTTTTTTGTGATGACGTCAGTGTTTTTCAATTATTTAAATTATAGGTAGTTAGGTGGTTGTACTATTTCATGTACCTGAATAAACGTAATAATGATCATAAAAATTAAATATTTCTTTTTCTTTTATAATTAGTATGAAATTAATAATTTAGGAATTTTTAGCTTTAGTACTTAACAATCGATATCCAAATTAGTAAGTTACAGTAAATAAACGAAAAATATTTATTGAATAAAAATCCTATAGGAAACAATTTTACAACTCCATATATGACATCGTATCTAGTTATAATATAATATATACATACATACAGAAGAATTATTCACAATCCATTGTTCTTTATTTCTAATGTTAGTCTTGGATTTGGATCATTATCAGTCATTTCTCTAATTGATTCTTCAATTATTGATTTCAAATTTGGAACTCTTTGTGATAATAATGAACCGAAACTAATCATTTCTATTTTCACATTTTCGATAGTTTCCTTTGTAGTATTGTTCTCGGATACTAATTTCCAATAAGTACTTAAAATAGTATCAATTTCGTCAGAATTAATATCATAATTAGTGATTATTTTTTTACCAATCTCACACAAAGAAAGTTGAGTTCTCCATGTATAAATATAAAGATTGTTACCAAAACATTGTAAAATCAAATCCAATAAAGTTTGTAGATATGCCATTTTGAAATTCATATTCTTTTTGTCAATCTCAGCAAATGAAACTATTGAATCAATTAATTTCAAAATATATTCTTCTGTCTCTATATTTTTCTTAGAAGATTTCTTAGTGATCTCGTTTTCCTTCTCTTTAGACCCACTCTCGTTTCTCGTACTATCAACAGCTTTATTGTTAGAAGAACCGACATCTTGTATAGTATCATTAATAATTTTCAAGAGTAGGTCTATGTCACCCTCTGAGTCTTCGAATGTACCCAAATATTTTGCATAAAACAAAATTATCTTTCTCACATATGCCTTATTTGTACGAGCCATTTCAATCTTTAAGGATTTGTTTATTTGTCTTTTTAATTCTAAATCTTGACTCACATCATCCTTAAATGTGATAGCTAAGGAGCATAAAGCTTCAACCATCATATCTTTACCGTCCCATGTTCTTCCCTCTAAGGAGGTTATGGATAAATCGAACAGATCTTGCCTTTGCTTGGCACTAATATTAATATCTATTTTCTCTGAAACTATCTGGATTGCTTTCGCACAGGTCTTTCTTACATCGAAATTATTACTTTTTATATTCTTTGATAAAATCGACAATATTTCATCTAAATACAACTTTATAGTACCTGATCCAGTAGATGATGCATCTGTCCATATTTTACTAAATAAATCACTATTTTCTTTAATAACATCATTACATGCAACAAAAATCAGTGGCATAAATATATTAGCAACATTTTCGAATTGTGAGGGCGAATGATCAAGAATAGATTCAATAGTTAAACCGACTGTTCTTTTTGAGGAGGAATAATCGTTATTACCATCAATATTAAAATACTTTTCTACCAATTTATTACCATATTTTGCCGCCTTGTCAACAGAAGAAATCTTGAATATATAACCAAAAGTTGTTGCAAATGAATGCGAAACAGATTCATTCCTATCATCTAACATTACTAAACACAACTTCAACAGTTTACCAGAATATGGGGCCAGTTCAATTACAAATCTTTTTGCTAATAGCACCAAAACTTGGGCAGAAGCAACTTTGGATGGAAGGCCAATAGATTTTTTAACAGCTCTCATACTGTAATCTACAAAATCGAGGAGATTCTTTTCGTCACTGAGCGTGATTAATTTTTCAATTGTCTCAAATAATGGGGAACCAGTGATACCATTCTTTCGATGCATATCAATAACCTTGGAATCAACATTATAATTATTAGCATTCAATGATAGGTAATTTATTACTTGAGGTTCGATAGAGGAGAATAGTAGAGTAAACTCATACACTAGCTTTGGTGCAAATGGTTTAATCGAGTCACCTGTATTTTTTACCAATTCAATCAATGTTGTCAAGGCAAATTTCCTAACGTCATCTGCATCGCTATTTATACCCTTTGTACCCAAAAAAAATGGTAAAATAGATTCTAGGATTTTCTTTGACCTTTCTGAACTTACACCTTTACTTACATCAATCGATCTAGCAAGGATCTTACCTAATACAGTTGTAAACCTAACACCTGCCTCACGTACACTTTCTTTTATATCATCCATCGTACGGAAACCCATGGTCCAGATATCTAGAATCCTATCTGCGAATTTTTCATTCGGTTGAGTTTGAACCAAATTTAATAAACCATTAGTACTAGCTTCTCTAACACGCCATTCTTTATCTGACATACCATCTAATAATTCTTCTAAAATGACATCAAAATATTTAGTCATAACATTTGAGGAATCGGATATCAGAGAATTCCAAATGTCAGTCATAGATCTTGCTACAGTAGAATAAGGATCAAATTTGTACCTGTATAATTTTGGAATTAACTTAGTAGCTGTTGCTTCATCCTCAAGTAGCATATTCTCGAGGGAAGATTTGGACATAATAGCACCTAATCCGAAAGCAATACCTTTCCTTGACGACCAAAGAGACGAACTCTTTGCTAGTGACATAAATTTGTAAACCAATGAGGGGTCCCCAACTTCAGATGCAAGATTTAGGATATCTTTATAAGTACTAACAGAACCATCTCCTGTATTCATAGTCCCTGGTTCAAACAATTTCGTTTCTTGGTTAAGTGTTCCAGATTGCATTGACATAGCATTTGTCGAATTCGTAAACGACTTCAATAACCCCTTGACCATATCCTCTCTAAGATCACTTGTACCAATCTCATAAATCAAACTCAAACCTCTTGACGATGTATCCTGAATTAACTCATCGTTATCGCCTAGGAATTTCATGAACCTGTTATGGATTTCCTGGGCATGCTGTATAATTATTTTATCATGTTTCAAAAATTGAACCAAAGATAGTAACCAAATACAAGATGCCTTACGCAAGGCAGGCTTGGATGAGTCACATGCATGTAGAACTTTATCAAGGATATAGAAAACATTCTCCTCATTGTAGAATTGTGAACCTAATGTATCAATCACTTGCTTGGAATATTCACCAACATCAACTTGGTCACTTAAGATAGTACTCATCCAGCCCCCAGCAATAATGGAGAGAGTTTCCCCAGATGCAAAAAGGTATTCAACTTGTTTAGAAACGTGAGTTTCATAAAGTGTATCGTAAAATTCATCCACTAGATTAAATTCCTTAGCATATATGGCGATACAGCCCCATAGTTCAACAGTAAATTCGTCGTTTAGTAATCTAGTTTTCAGCAGATCCATAGTTGTTCTCACAATTATTTCTCTTTTTTCTTTTGGTAAGTGACATAACAAACCAAATTTACTAATCTGTCCCATTAAGTGATAAAGTATTTTTTTGGATTTATGTTCCATAATATTATTAGAAATTGTTTTAATTAAAGCCAAGACACGGGTCTCTGTCACATTTTTCAATTGATTCGTGATGAATAATCTTGGTAAAATATTGGCATTCGCAAACATGTCTCTTAACGAAATTTCTGTCGTATCAACGTGATCCAGGCAGGATATTATGTTAGTTACATTTTTGGAGTTTGCACATGACACTGATATGATTGCCAAAATATTAGCACACATCTCTAGTTCTTCATCGTTAATTATACTGGTACCATCCAAATATTTATAAAGGTCAATAATCAGTGGTTCCAACAAGTGTAGTACAGATGGATTGGTGAACTTAATTAATAATATTAATGTTTTTCCAAATACTACATCATGATATTTTGAAAATGCAATGGTGTTACCTTCACTACTCTTTATAACAAATTCTGAGCAAATAATTTTCAAGAGTTCACTATACCAAGTTTCTGTTATACCTCCAAGAAAGGAAGAAACATGATGAATGACAATGGGATCTACCTCTACTGCCTTTTCGGTCCTAATACTCCAATCTTCGTCTTGTACTATAACTGTTTGTTTTCCTGAGATAGCTTCCATTATAATACATTGTTTAATAAATCTTACAGCGCAATTAAGGGTGTTTCTTAATACAGATGTCTCATTTTCTCCATTTTGTTTCATTTCATTAATAATAAACGTGCTCATTTCTTTGGAATTAGGAAAAACAGTATCTGTACCTTTAATTCCTAATATTGCTTCCGTTTTTAAGAACTGTTTATTAATTGCTGCTCTATTTATCCTAAACCAATGAGGATGCAAACCTTTAATAGATTCTTCTATGATATCAAATCTATTTGTTCTTGAAGTACCCAATATATTAAAAAATCTAGCTTCAGGATCCTCAAATTTGAAAGCGGCATTCGCAAACTTTATAGCTATAAACCTTAATGCCATTATCTTCTCTTTGCTTTTTGGTTCATTTTCTAATTGGTAATCATCCGATAAATATTTCCTCAGAATTGTTTTCAATTTAAGTTTCGATGACTCCGGTAAGAGCGGTAAATGACTGGTGGCAGCTACCAAACTCTCTTGAATGCTGGATGAAAATTCTATTAAATCACCATTTAACGAATCTAATAAAAACTCAATGTACGATAAATCTTCAACCAAATCGAAATCCTTCCTTATAATATCACCTAATGTTTCATATTGTAATCTTCTTTGCAATATCGCATTATTAAATTGAGGGGTTGCCGACCCTAATTGAAGTTTGGGCCAACCTTCAGAATGCAAGTTATTTCTGATTAAAGATGCAATATTAGTATGATAGTCTAAATTTTCTGAAAATTCGGGTTTGTGAACCATGTTATCACCATTGTTTCTAGCGACATGACGAATGAATAGCAGACAGAAGGATTTCAGTTTATAATATTCTGAATTCAAACCAATAGAACAGATCAATAAAACCTTCCCCGAGTCCTGAGTTGCGATTATACTATTGTTCAGTATTGTAAGGATTCTTTCTTGTAATTCATGCTTCACTGGAGGAATACCTGTTGTCTTATCACCAGTGTATAAGGTAATCAAGAAATTAATAAAATCTTCATCCTCATAAGGCGTTTGTAGTCTCTTTAAAAATTGAATGGCAGAATCCGATATTGGACTTTCATCTGTACAAACAACAGACAAGAATTTAATCAATTTATTATCATCTTCAACCAAACCATTACAAGCAAATTTAAAAATTGCCCTTTTGAATTCATGCATTTGTTCTCCTGTAAAAGAAATACCCGCCTCATACGTAAAGAAGGAAACATCATCGCTCGAGAGTCCCGGCGATGTATAACCTCTAGGTATAACACCTGCTTGTGGATTTGGTTTAGCAGGTTTTAATAGGAAAAACTTTGTGAAATAACTTAGGATAAATTCCAAATCTTTATCATTCTCCAACTTTAAAAATTCTTTAGTTTCATTCTCTTCAGCAGAACCCTTCAATGGAGGAACCCAAGTTAATAACAGTTTACAAAGTATATGGAATAGTCTTGCTGCAGTGTCTCTTGATACTTTAGATATATCTTTCATGACGTCTGGGACCAATGCTTTCTGCTCAGAGACAGTTAAACGATCAATACCTTTCGAAGCTAATAATAAACTGTATAGGCGAACATTCTTCGGATCTGCACCTTCTGGAATGGAAGGTGATTTAGCTTGTATAATCAATGCAGCTACAGGTAATCTAAGTGTCTTAAGACTTGACAATCGTGAAAGCACATGTTTTAAAGTGTTAAAAACAGCTTGCCTGACAGATGCGTATGAAGACGCAAGTTTCAACAATAAAGGAGCTAGAAATGTATTTAAACTTTTTTCAAATTTCTCTGTGGTATCACTTAATGCTAAACGAAGTTCCACTTTTTCGATTAGATCAAGTTCTTTTTTTTCTGAAGCTGATATGGTATCCATATTATTTATGTATTATTTTTTGTTTGCTGTTAAATTCAATCTAGAATGTCAATGCTTAATATCAATGTCCTCTTCTATTTGTTGCACGATCTAATATAGAAATGTGAATATTTACAATGTGCAATAAATAGAGGTTAAAATAAAACTCGAATGGAAAAGAACGGCAGTCTTCTATCAGATTACGTTAAACTTTCACAAAATAATTTATTAATTTACTTGGTATATGAATATATATATATGTAGATTGAACATTATTGATGAAATATACATATACTATTGAATTAACTTGAAATATCGTCAAGGTATTCCCAGTGGCAATTGCATTTGCTCTTAACATAATTACATAAGTCAGCAACAATCATCATTTACTGAACTTCCGCGGGAGGACGGGCTTTAAAAAAAATATCATAACGAGCCAAAAAAAATAGAAGGAGACAAAATTAGAATAATTTTAGAGCTCTCGGATTATGACAGCTCTGTTTTGATTATCCCATACACCAGACGACACACTTCCATCAATAGACAGTGTGCGTTATAAAATCAAAAAAATTAACTTAGTAATTTGGATCCTGTTGTGTTCTGAAATAATATTTTATAATATTTAATTTTTAGTTGCATTAATTCAAGGAACGAAATAAATGTATAGTTACTGGTGGGTTAGAGGCAAATTGCGATATTGAAGCATTGATATGAATTATTTCTTGAAAGATAGCAAAATTGTGTTCATTATCAACTAGGCTTGCGAATCTTTCCATTCAACAAAATATGTAAATAATTTAAATATTAATTATTGAAAAGATAATGTGTTTCATTATAATGTTCTAAATGGAGGAATAATATTTGACTCGCAACTTTATATATGTATATATATATATTGTACTACCACTTCGTTATGTGAATGTACTATTCTTTTAAAACATACAATGAAACCCAATCAAATAATTAATTACCTTGAGACATGTTGAACACATGTCTATAAAGTGTCAGCAAATATATAAAATGAACTTGGTAGTTCATTGGATTCCTTACCATTCACCCCCTTAGTTATTTAACCAAAATATTCACTGTGACATAATTTTCTACGCGAAACCCGATCCCAAAAATATCTTAAAATTTGCCAAAGCTAGAAGCATTTACTTCTCACGGCAGCCAGGAATATAAAATATACCAAGTGAAAGAAATACAAGAAAATTTAAATAATAAAACAAAACAAAAAGTTGAAAGACAAGAAAGATATAATTTATCGTGCATATAACAAAGGGAATCCGTTAAAAAAGATAAACCATATTGTGGAAGTGATATTTCTCAGAAAAATTAACCAGCTATTTTAATTCTAATACAACCTTTAGAATGTCTAAAGTAAATTCGTCATCATTTGTAACCGTTAGAGGTCAAGCTATCTCATTAGAGACCCAAACTGATTCATTATTATCACGTTATTCTACATTTGCACAAACAACAAGTTCTGAACAATCGGGCAAAGAAAAGAAACTAGATACTCAAATTGAAAGCACTTTGAAGAAGAGACAAGATATAATCGATTCACTCAATGACATATGTAATGAGAATCCATCCATTTCTGCATCTAAACTTTCCCAATTGCAACGTCATAAGGAAATTTTACAGGAACATTGGAAAAGTTTCCAAAATATTAGATCATCTATACAACAAGAACGTAACAGATTGAATCTATTATTTAGTGTCAAAAATGATATTGCTCAACATAATTCAAATACAAATATCAATGATGAAGAAGAATATATTCAGGACGAGTCCCGAAGAATAGATCAATCCCATAATGTGGTAGATCGGTTAATTTCACAAGCATGGGAGACAAGAGACCATTTTACATCTCAAAACAACGTATTAAACAATGTCAATAATAAAACATTACAAGTCCTACAAAGGATCCCAGGGTTAAATCATTTACTCGGAAAAATTAATACTAGAAGGAAGAAGAATGCTGCTATATTAGCCTCTGTCATGACCATTTGTATATTATTACTATTTTTCACTTGGTAATTAAATGATGCTCTATGCTTAAATTGGGATTATATAAATATATAAAAAATACGTATAAACAAACAAAAAAACTTTCAAAAATAGGGATTTTATCATAAAATGGAAATGAAATTTCGTAGCTATCGCCTGTATAATGCTAATGTGTTAATTAATGATCCCTCTTCTCATCTGTGGATGTAAAGTTAGGTAAAGAGGAGGATGTATCTGATGAAAATAATATAGAATCCGATCCAGAATCACCAGCGATCGAGGTTGTCTCTATAGAGTTTTCTTCTTCAAGGATAGTTGGAATACCATTGATACCCCTTCTACCTCTTTGCATTGGTTTAAACGACACTGTTCTATGTCCATCAGTATCATCTTCATCAGCTGTTCCATAAGTACCTTTAATATTTGTCTTACCTCTGGATTTTGTTGGCTTCAATATTCCACCATCAACCCCGTCCTCAGAACTTAATGCCTTATCGATCATGTTACCATCTATATCTTCGTCATTATCGAAAGAGAAATCACTTAAATCAGATGTGGCTCTACCTCTATTTCTTCTCTTCCATCCAGGTCTTCTGAACCAAGCCTTCATTAACATGTCTTTGTAAACAGCAAATGGCCAGTTAACTGGAGATTCGTGACCTTGATATATACAGACATCATATATCAGAGCACCACATAGAGAACCAACAAATGGGGCAACTAATGGAACCCAGAAATAATGAGCATATTTATCCCATAATAAACCTCTATTAAATCCAACAGCATACAATGCTAATCTTGGACCTAAATCACGCGCAGCGTTAATAGCGCAAGCTGTTTGGTATGACATCGCTGTGTTTAGAATGTAGATTAAAATAAATAACATTAATGGATACACTTCGGAAGAAAGACATGTATATGGATCTGTTAAGGCAAAAACACATGCCTGAAATACAGCGGTAGTAATAAATTCTGATGTAAATTGACGAGCACTTGATAGATAAGATGCTGGATTAGTGTAAAACATGGCTCCCATAGCTTCAGCATGCCACCATTCATCAAATGCTTCAACAATAACTTTCTTATAAAGGATGAAACAGATCAAGGCACCTGCAAAAGCACCAATGAATTGACCTGCCAAATAGAGTGGAACCTTTTTAGCAGGGAAACCTCTAAAGACAAAATTAGCAACTGTTATAGCAGGGTTTAAATGTGCACCTGAGATTGCGGAACCACCAGCAACAAAATAGCCCATGACAACTGCGGCAGCCCAACCTAATGGAAGTTGGTCGAATGTACCTGAAGCAGTATTCGTAATGATATCTTGTAATGCTTCAACCATTTGTTTCACGGATTCATCTTGTTCCGGAATGTTGTCAATGTTATCCATGGCCGCAGCAAATGCATTTTCTTGAATTTTTGCACCAAGACGAACTTGGCAACAAGTGGCACAACCTAATAGAATCATAATTAAAGTACCAATGAATTCAGCCAAAAATTCTTTTAAGAACGAATGCTTAACCGAAGACCATTTATTGATAGGATGATATGTTGAAGGTAAAACTGTTGGGGTTTGTGGATTTTGATATAACGTCTTTGGCTTAACCATCATAGGTACATTCATAGGTTCATCATCTTCATTATTAATATCCCCCTGTATTTCATCACCAGAAGTATTATTGTTATAATTATTATTGTTGTTGTTGTTATTGCTACCATTATTACCATTGTTATAATTATTACCATTATTATAATTATTATTACTGTTGTTGTTACTAAAATTTGTATTACTCCTACCTTGTTGTGGACTACCAGGGCCATTATCAAAATTACTTTTGTTTGAATTTATACCTGCATGGAACGAATTAACATCACCAAGGTGTAAAATATTTGCTGAAACTGTCGTAGCACCCCTAGGTCTAAGACTAGCACCACCAGACAATTTGGGGTCAGATCCTGTAGCTATTGCCATTTGTGTATTTGGGACGACTTCCTGAATTGGAAACGATCCATCTAATGCGTATTGCGGAATATATGATGTAGTAGGACGAATATTATTATTATTATAATTACCTCTATATTCTTGAGTTTCATAATCAAACGCATCGTCGTTGTGATGAACTGTATGTTTTGTTTTTTGTGATGACTTTCTACTTAAGATATCATGATGAGACTTAACCTCACCATGACTCATTTGATCAGCATTTGTTAAAAAATCGTTAATTTCGTTTGGACTAGACATAATATATTATTTGAGTATGAAAATAGGAGTCTCAATATGTTGTTATGGAAGATGAATGCAAATAAATTAATAGACCAATGAAAACAAACGAGGCAAATTACAAGGAAATACCACAAATTGGAAAATATATATATATTTCTGTTTTTTCTTCTTTTAATGCTAGATGACTTCCTTATTTATATATGTAGTGTTGATGCTAAAATATATCGAACAGAAAAAGATACTGATATGGGTAAAAAAGAAGGTATAATATAACTGTTGGAAAAGAATAGAAATATATCAAAAATGGGTAAAATAAATAAATAAATTATATGAACTCTTAGTTATTAGAAAACAAAATACAGTAGTAATCTTTAACAAAATACTAGATTCCTTATTTTATTTTATTACCTTCTATTTCCTTTGCAACGAGAACTAATGTTGTTATTCACTCCTTTATTTAATCACTTGATGAAGCTTCAAATACTATTAATTATGGAGTTGTCAAATCTATTTCAGTATCTCTCTTATATAGAAATATGTTAATTATACTATGTATTATGATCTTTCAGATATTGTAAGCAGAATTTTAATCAATAAATCAGTCAATAAATCAATCAATCCTTCGGGTAAACAAATTTTCTTTACTCTCTCATTCCATCATTATTTTGTTTCTCCTTTTCTCTCTTATTGCTTACCGTACTTTTCTTTTTCCTTTCCGTTCTGCTTAGATCATTACTTCGTTTGTGCGAAGAAGAAAAAATTGCATAATTATAAAAATAAATATTTTTCCAGCGTAATTTTCTCTCTCTTTTGTTTACCAAATAAACGAATATTCGTGTAGGTTTTGTTAGTCTCTTTGAAGAATAAAATTTACAAATGTACACCAGGAATATATAACAATGTATATACTTACATCAATATATATATATTTGTAATTTGGGGAGAGAATAATCAATTCAAATATATTGTCAAGTATATTTGAAGATAGCTTTATGTGCATATATCAAACAATGTAACATTAAGTTCCCCACCAATAATAGTATATAGAATAAAAAAACTGAACACTATATATATTGTAGTGAGTAAGTTTTTTACGTAGTACCGCATTAGTCTATTCAGTCAAAGTAATTGAATTTATAAATGAATTGATGATGCAAAAAGTCAATTAGCGTTATGACTTGTGCAATATTACATTACTCTAAAATTTAATAATCATGTTCTAACATTCATTATTCAGTTTATTTATTAGATAAATCACCGTCATTTTGCAATTTGCGAGAAACAAAAAATATCTAAAGTAAACAAATTAAGTAAACAAAATTGAAAATTATCATAATATATTTTGCACAGCCACATATATATACATACCGTACACAAAATAATAATTTTCAGCAGACGAAACAGAAAGTATAAACACAGAGCGGTCACCGCGGAGAGACTTGCGGCTGAATTTCTGTACAGATTATTTTGTTTTTCTTCACCGTTACAGAATTGAGCTATGTGATTCCCTTATCCCCCTCCTTAAGAACGTCTATGGTGAGAGTGACTCCTCGTTATATTACAGATGAAAGATGAATACCTATTGGACCGATATAATACCCCACAGTTATAAGAGTAACTGCATTTTGCTAAACGCTATAGTGATATTATATATCTACAAAAGAAATGGGTTAAGTTACTCCACCTCATAACAGATCCCTTTATAATAATATATTATCAGATATTTATTGACATATATACAACAATAATTTAAGAATTACCTTCCTGTTTATTACATTCTATTCTATTTTCATTGTTTTTTTGTTTTGTTTTTAGCGGTCGTGAAAAATTCAAATTTATTATAATTCCTACCCCTCCACACATACTTTTGGGTTAAGTTGACTTACACCATTGTTTAGCCATCCTTCCCCAGTCAATAAAAAAACTACGTGTGATACGACAATTTAATACTTATACTTCATTTACCTTTCCCAGAAACTAACTCCGTAATTGAATTATCATATTTCACCACCTCTGTGCTCTTTTATTTTATTTTATTTCATTTGATCATATTTACCCATTGCAATCCCATCACTTACCTACTAAATTTTTATTTATTTTTTTCAAATATATACCTTCATACATATATTTTATTTAGTACTATGGTATTTTGTAGTGATTTTGATTGTAGATAGATTATGTTACCTTTGTTAAAAAAATCTTCCCTTATTACGAATTCTCAAATTTTTCATCCCTCATTTAATATATATAGGACAGCATTAATTCCAAACCATTTTAAAAATATTATTAAACTTTCTTCTTCGTTTCCAAATCATCTTAGATATATGAGTTCTTCTATAAATAAACGTCAACATATATCTAATAATAATAACAACAACAAAAATAAAATAAATTTATCATCCTGTACTATTGAAATGCCTATCGTTGCAGAAGAAGAAAGTATCCCTTTAATCGTATCTATTGATGTCGGAACAACATCCTCTAGAGTCATTCTTTTTAATAAGTTAGGTCAAGAAGTTTCAAAACATCAAATTGAATATTCTACTTCAGCATCTGAACAAAATTATACCCCAGCTGGTAGAAGAAGACATTCTGAAGAATTAAATGCAGATACTTTAGAAGAAGTTGCAGCCACGACTGTTTATACTAATGACGAAAATAAAGAACCTGAAAAAAATGGCCCAATTTTTTCCTCTGTTGGGTTTAAAATTGAAGAATCTCCATATTTGACTATTGAAGATTTAGTGAAAAATCATACTGTTGGACCTACTTTAAGATTTCCAAAACCTGGTTGGGTCGAATGTAACCCAACTTCAATTTTAATTAATGTATTGGAATGCCTTGGTGCTGTATTACAATCACTACATATTACTAATGAATCAAGAATAAGACATAACTTAAAATCATATAAGATCCATTGTATTGGGATTGCTAATATGAGAGAAACAACAATTGTTTGGTCGAAAAAAACTGGTTTACCAATTGTTGATTATGGTATTGTATGGAACGATACCAGAAATGCTTCAATTGTTAATAAAAAGAAAGAAACTACAGATAAAGCGTTACAATCAAGATTAACCGAAAAGACTGGCCTTCCTTTATATTCAACTTATTTCTCTTGTTCGAAATTACGTTGGTTCTTAGATAATATCCCAGAGGTTAAACATTCATATATGAATAATGATTTAATGTTCGGTACTGTCGACACATGGTTGATATACCATTTGACAAGTACGAACAATTTTGTATCAGATGTTACTAACGCATCAAGAACAGGGTTTATGAACTTAGAAACTTTAAATTATGATCCAGAATTATTGGAATATTGGGATATTGACCCAACGAAAGTTTCATTGCCCAAAATTGTATCTTCGGCAGAATATTATGGTGATTTTAACGTCCCAAAGTTCTGCGAATCAATATTACCTCCTACCATTAAACAATTATTATCCAATTTTGCATCATTAAAAGTACCAATTAATGGTTGTTTAGGTGATCAGAGTGCATCACTAGTTGGTCAAATGGCTTACAAACGTGGTGCAGCTAAATGTACTTACGGTACGGGTTGTTTCCTATTATACAACACAGGTACCGAAAAGTTAATCTCTAGACATGGAACATTGACTACATTAGGGTTTTGGTTCCCATATCTGGAAGATGAGTTCAATATTAATAAACCTCATTTTGCATTAGAGGGATCAGTAGCTGTAGCAGGTTCCGTAGTCCAATGGTTAAGGGACAATCTACGTCTTGTTGCAAGAGCAGAGGATGTGGGACCCTTAGCTAGTTTGGTTCCAGATTCTGGTGGAGTTGTATTTGTTCCAGCCTTCAGTGGGTTATTTGCACCATATTGGGATCCTGATTGCAGAGCCACTATAATGGGTATATCTCAATTTACAACGGCCTCGCATATTGCAAGAGCTGCTGTGGAAGGTGTTTGTTTCCAAGCTCGTGCAATTTTGAAAGCAATGAGTTCGGATGCCTATTCTGAATCAAGACCTAACACACATGATGGTGAAATGCCAAAGGATATCGATTTATTGGAAGATATCGATACGTGTACATATGAGAAATCTGTATTCTCGACACTCTCTGTAGATGGTGGGATGTCTCGTTCTAATGAAGTAATGCAAATACAAGCAGATATCTTAGGCCCATGCATTAAAGTGAGGAGATCTCCTATTGCTGAATCTACTGCTCTTGGTGCCGCCATAGCAGCTAATATGGGCTTTAAAGAAGAAAGTGAACGTCCAATATGGAAAAACCTACATGATTGTAAAAAATGGGTTTTTTTTAATGGTGTTGATAAGAGCGAAACTATTCCAAGAGAACAACATCCAAATTTGAAAGTATTTACAAGTCAATCTAAGGATACAATCAGAAGAAAACATTGGAAATTATGGGAAACTGCTGTCGCTAGATCAACGGGTTGGCTGAAAGCAGTAGAAGATGCTTAAACATTGTATTGTTACCGGTAAATGTACCAAAATCTGAAGAAAGAAATCTAATGCCTTTTTAATAATAATAATGATAATAATAATAATGATAATAATAATAATAATAATGATATATATATATATTCCTTTTTACTATATAAACTTTTGTGATAATAATAATTCTTTTTGTTTACATAATTTGTTTACATCGTTTGTTTACAATTATTTAAAAACCATATTATGACTGTCTTTCTTAACACCCGTACATTATTAAAAACACATTTTTTATTTTTTCAAAAAAAAGAATGAAAATTGAAAAATAAAATTTTTTGAATGCCAGCCTCACAGCTAACTAAATTTCACAATCATCTAATCTGGCCCAGAAATCAACTCCAAATAGAGAACATCACCGATTTGAAACTTTCATATAAAGCAAACATAATAAATATTAAATAGAAAAGTATTACATTGTTACTCTTACTTATAATTTTAACCATAAGAAACCAACCAATTTCATAAAAGAACATTATATATACTAAAATGGCTCCAGGTAAGAAAGTTGCTCCAGCTCCATTCGGTGCTAAGTCTAACAAGACTTCTAAGGCTAAGAACCCACTAACCAACTCTACTCCAAAGAACTTCGGTATCGGTCAAGCCGTTCAACCAAAGAGAAACTTGTCTAGATACGTCAAATGGCCAGAATATGTCAGACTACAAAGACAAAAGAAGATTCTAAACATGAGATTGAAGGTTCCTCCAACCATTGCTCAATTTCAACACACTCTAGACAGAAACACTGCTTCTGAAACTTTTAAGCTATTCAACAAGTACAGACCAGAAACCTCTGCTGAAAAGAAGGAAAGATTGACCAAGGAAGCCGCCGCTATTGCTGAAGGTAAGACCAGACAAGAAGCTTCTCCAAAGCCATTCGTCGTCAAGTACGGTCTAAACCACGTTGTCTCCTTGATTGAAAACAAGAAGACTCAACTAGTCTTGATTGCCAATGATGTCGACCCAATCGAATTAGTTATCTTCCTACCAGCTCTATGTAAGAAGATGGGTGTTCCATACGCTATTGTTAAGGGTAAGGCCAGACTAGGTACTCTAGTTAACCAAAAGACCTCTGCCGTCGCTGCTTTAACTGAAGTCAAGCCAGAAGACGAAGCTTCTCTAGCTAAGCTTGTATCTACCATCAACGCTAACTTTGCCGACAAGTACGACGAAAACAAAAAGCACTGGGGTGGTGGTATCATGGGTGCTAAGGCTCAAGACAAGACTGCCAAGAAGGCTAAGGCTTCTGCCTCCGCTTAAGTTAATTGTTTGGATACATTTTTTTCCTTCAGTTTTTTTTTGCATATTGTACAATAAAGAAAGTTTGTTGAATATTTTTTATTCTTTGAGCTATATCTTTCCCTTACATTTTGAAATCTACGATTTCTTAGTAATCGGTTATAATTTTCCCCTTTTTAAAAAAAGAAATTATTATTTAAACTACATTCTAGATTTGAAGTGTTTAGATGGTATTGTTTGTTGAAGCATTTTTCAACAATATTTGAAGTTATGATTCCATTATAGGATTACAGACAGATTTACGCAAGAGTAGTTCGATAATCAATATTTACATCTCTGATCCATATCAGAGCTTGTGATGTTGATTATTTAGGTGCATTACTATGGTGAGAGCGTATCTGGCTTTGTTTTCTTTTGAATTGGTCTTATTTTGAATATTGATTGAAAGATGTTACAGAACGTACATATCGGCATTTTCAATATTCTTCATTATATAATGCACCTTTTATTTCAATATTAATGTTCATGGTTACAGGAAAACTGCGATTGATTGTTCATATTGAGCACCCAATTCAATTTGGAGTGGAAGTTCATATGAGTTGATACAATTTGTAAGTGCCCTTAACTGTATTTATTTTTTCAAATTTTATTTTTTCTTGGAAAGGCCGGGTAACATATTTCTTGTCTTAACTTCATCATTTAAGTACGTATTAATGGGTATCACAGCCAAACGAAACAAACAAACAAACAAAATAGGAAGGGGCGAGGAGAAAAATGGGACGGTGGCAAGTTGCAAACAAAACTCTTTTTTTTGCTCTCTTTTTTCATCGCAGGTTCTCTCGGGAGAGGAGGGGGGCGACGAGGGGTCAATAAGTTGGCGTTTCTTGGTATAAAACAAGCCCACTTTTATTATAATTCCTTTATTTTAAATTTGAAATAGTTTAGGTTTTCCATAATTTAGTCATGTTTTCTTGTAATTCATTTCTCAATGATTAGTAATTGTAATAATTATAACATTTATATTAACATCATTGTAATTTATTATATCAATCATCGTTATATTAATAATTAACCCCTAGTTTGTAAGAAAATCCAGAAAAAAAAAGGAATCGTTCAACCACAGGTTAAAGATAAGTGAATTAGAAGTAGATCATAACAAATAAATAATAAGAAAGAAAAATGTCTGGTGAAACTGAAACCGTAGAAATTGTCGCTCAAGAAACTCCAATCGTTGAAAAGCCAGCCCTTGACCCTGAAACCACTGTTTTCATTGGTAACGTCGCTTTAGATGCTACCCTTGAAGATTTGGAAAAATTATTCAAGGACGATTATAAATCTGTTGAAGTTGACATTCCTGAAAAAGAACACAGAGGTAGTCATGTTCCTCTAAGTAAGCATGCCTTTGTTAAATTCCCTGTAACCATTGATTTTGATGATATTAAATCTAAGTTTGATTTAGCCGTCATCAACGACAGAGCTATCCACATCAAAAGAGTGAGGTCTCCAGATGAACTTCGTGGTGCCGGTAGAGGTAGAGGTAGAGGTGCTTTCCGTGGAAGAGGTAACGGTAGAGGTAGAGGTGCTTTCCGTGGAAGAGGTAGAGGTGGCTTCAGTAGAGGTCCAAAGATTCCATTGTCTGAAATGGAAAGATCTACCGATACTATCTATATTAATAACGTTCCATTTGAAACCACTAAGGTCGAATTGGCTGAATTCTTTGGTACCAATGAAGATGCTGTTGTTTTACCAATGAGAAGACTAAGAGACGAAGTCACTAGAAGATCTGTTCCATCTGATAAATATAACAGAGGTATGGCTTTCATTAAGTTTGACAACCTAAACGGTAGTATCGCCGACAAGGCCGGTGAATTTGATGGTAAATCTCTAGGTGACAGAACTCTAGTTGTTGATGTCGCTGTTGTAAAGCCAGCTCTACCAGAAGAAACTCATAATGACGAAGAAGCTCCAGCTGATTCTGAAGATAAAGAAGCTGCCTAATTATCTGATCAAAACAGGAAAAAAGAATTGAAATCCTAATCTAATTAATTTCACGTAATATATTTAGTTGTAAAATTAGTATATATGTATAAGCTAAAATCATTAACTTTCATGTCAATTACAGAAAGAGTACAAATATTTTTATTTAGAAAATGGTGTTGTTTTATTTATGCAATATATACTTGTGCTTTGAAATGGTGTCGGATATCTGTTACAAATATAGTTTTATTTCATTAAAGGAATATTATTAAAGTAATTTAAAGGTATACGTAAATTATATCATGTCATTGAATATATCTCTTAACCCATTTGGTCATGATTAGACCATCATTCAAAACAATAAATTTGGCCTTTAACTTATACCCACCTAACTTAGGACATAAGTAAAACATCTTAAACCAATAGAGGAAACATATACCAATCATTATTAATGTTGTGATTTGGTATGGTGGCATACTTGTCACCTTGACAGCTTGGTCCTTCCGATCAATAAAGGGGGCAGCCAAAAGGTAGAGACTTAACATACCTAGTGCAATAACACCAATTGATGACGCTTTTATAGTCGGTTTTAACGTTTGATCAGTGGACTTGTGGGTATGTCTATATATGAATAATCCCAAAGCCACTAAGAATAAGAAAAATTGATTCCCATATCCTTCCATATTTATTAAATAATCAAAAGATGCAGAATCTCCAGGTAATAAAAGAATCCATGCAATAGTTAATATACCACACAGAGCGATAGAAGGCAATGGTGCATCCCTGGGGTAATTACTAGCCATAAATTTACTAAACGGTAAATACCCCTCTCTAAATATTTCTTGATTCATTCTGGAGATACCATAAGTAACCACTAATATATTTGATAAAGCAGATAATGCGACTGTAATCGACATGATCTTACCGCCGATGAAAGTGCCAAATAATTTTGTGAATAAGACAGAACCAATTAATGGACCTGCTTCTTTAATTTCTTCAAATGTTAATACATTCAAATATGCTAGATTCACCAATATATAACAAACGAAACATATTAAAAGGGATATTGGACCTGAAATTTTCAATGTTCTCGAAGGGTTTTTAATTTCAGAAGCCACTGAGTGAACCGAATCCCAACCTGCAAAACAGAAAAATGAGCTTGTAATAGCTGCTGCAATAGATGATATTGAAATCATTGAACCTTCTTCCAGTGTCATATAATGAAAATTGTTTGATAAAACTGAGGAATCAACCTCAATTGGTTTATAAATAAATAATGAATATAATCCTGTACCACACATTAACAATATCATAATCAATTTCAATCCACCAAATAAATTTTGAATAAAAATACCATGACGAACTGAGATACCATGGATTAAAATTGCAACTAAAATCACAGATATACTTATTAGTTTAGACATACGTTGTTCATTGGACTCTGAGATATCATCATATCCCATAGCATATAGGATATATTTCCCAAAAACAATCGAGTTAGAAAGTGTCAACCCAGATAACAAACTATAACATGCAAAAGTGACACTCATCATTAAATTCGGTTTGGTATAAGTTTGTTCTAGAAAGTTTTTTCTACCACCAGATTTCGGTATCCATGATCCAAACTCTAAAAACAAATAGAGTCCTGCGAATGCTAAACTTGCAGTTAGAATCCATATACCAAAGAAAATCGTGATATTACCACCGCAGTTCACATACATACTACTAGGAATAGTGAAAATACCAGATCCTAATATACGTGAAACAAATAAAATTGTAGTAGAATATATTCCCAAATGTCTTCCTTGTGGTACTTCTATTAATTGTTGTGTAGCTTTATGATGTTCTTCTGCATCTAAAGAACAAAATGATCCATAATCCTTAGTTTTTGAACCTAATTTACTCCGAAGAGCTAATTCTTCAGTCACTACCTGGGCCAATCTTTCTGTATCATTATCAGTATAGTCATATTCTTCCACATGGATGGCACTCGATTTACTATCTGACAACATTGAGTAAACGGAATATTCTTTTTTTTTCTTTTTCAAAGTAATAATTAAAGAAAGTGAAGCTTCTTAAAAGGCATGCAATATTGTTGAAATATGATCCTTATTCACTTGAAAAATAAAATAAACAAATGAACTGTTTCTTAAAAATTGGAGATGATTGTTAAGTAAACACTTCCTACTATTAATTTATACATATATATTCGTAGACTGTATTCTCTTGTTGTTAATAGATATTCTTTCGAGTTCCCATTATTTAATCTATTATGTAATCATTTTTTTATTTATCCGTTTGTATCAGTCATAACACGGCGCTATCAGAGCCTTCCCTCACAGTTTTCGCTCAATTAAAACAGAACAAGAAAAAAAATGTTTATCATTTACAATACCATGAAAGGACAGCTATGATTGTTGTTATTGTTATTAAAGAGGTTTGATATCGCCAAGTAAGGTGAGGAAATTTAATGTTATTTGTTGTTACAATTATATTCTCTTTAAGGATATTTCTTTTGTGAGTTTTGTATGGTGAAATATATAATGGAGCCACAGTTTTAAAATATCATGTGATTTGTAATTTGAAAGATCACTGTGTACGTCGAAGGATAGATATAGTCCTTCTTGAGTTTGAATCAATTCATTTGAAACTGTACTATAATAAAAGTAATATACAACAATAAGGTTATTGAAAAATTGTATGTTTAATATATTAATGGAATAGGGATGGCATACAGAGTGTCGCAACAAATTATTTCTGGTGGAAATAACCGTACTCTATAGTTATGATTTTTTTAACATCAAATTAGATACTCAGATAATGTGTTAACAGTGTAATAGTACTTAAACTCACCATCATCGATTTTCTCTCGCACAACATCGATGATAATATGTATATGTATACGATCAATGTCTATTCTTTCTTTTGGTTACATACAAATTGGCAAGTACTTCTAATCATCGGCGGTATTGAATATACTTAAAATAGTACCAACGGTAATCGGCTTCAATTGCCGAAGTTTTTTTTGAAAAATGTTTACATATGAAGAGACATATTTTACGTGGAAACTAATCATAATGATCCTTATGATATATGTCAAATGGAGTGAAATATACACAGGAAGTTAGATAAGAAATAATCTGATAGAATTGCAATAAGTACGCTTCCCCTTTACCAATCGATTACTACGCAGTAACTACCAAATTGCATTTCAATCCTTATTTTTGCAGCTTTTTTTGTTTTTACTTCTGAATGAGTTCAACTGGAAACTTTGGACCATGGCTTTCATATTTTTATGCCTCTCTGAGAAGAGAAGCCAGAGCTAGAAAATTCCAATATGTATTTAATATACCAAATATGAAAGCATTAAAGATTCAAGATTCTAATTCGAGATTGAAATTAGTAGAGAAAAATCTACCAATTCCTGTTCATTTAGAGACTAGCATATTCAACACAGATTTATCACATGTACAAAATCTTTTGCTTGCTGATGTTCGAAATCAGAAGAGTGTGAAGTTTGGTTTCCAAATAAAAGGTATAGAAGGTACTGTACCTGATAGAGGAATAATTAGCTCGATCCTTAAAAATCCTGTTTTACCAAATTATTTAGATTCTGGGTTCGCTAAAGAAAAATTAGAAAAGACTCCCTTTGAATACAAACATACAATAAGATTAGATACTGATACAAATGATGAAACTTTGCATGTATTTGATAGAGTATTATGGCCGAATCCGATTTTTTCAAATTTTTGTAGAGGCGTTGGTGTCACGCCAAAATTATACAAAGAATTATTGACAAAAGATATTCATTTCAGAAGTCCCTGTAATAGTGATTTACTACCAATATTCAAAATCGAATCAATTCCGGAAGGTTATGATAGTATGGGATTATTTCCAAAATTTAATAAAGATCAATCAGAAATATTCAAGGGTATAGATGCAATGTCGGCCTTGATAACAGCAACTCCTTGCATAGGTTATCAATATTCAAAAGTTAGAGATGCAATTACATCTACTCTTTCTAATGATGGTTTAGAACTAGATAGAATTGATAAGAAGGATATTCAATTATTCCCAATGGTATCGAAGACACACTCATCAAGAGATACATTAGCTAAACTACTTGTTATTGCAAAGTATGATACAAAACTATGGTCCATTAGTGCTATGACAAATAAAATATGTCCAGGTGATATTCTCCGTTCGACCTTGTTTGCAAGGAATTGTAACAGGGGTGCATTGCGGAGGGAGTTTATGAAACATTATGTTTCATTTAATGTAGTATCTTTGGCAACGAGATTAAATGATCATAAGGTCACCAAAGATTTTATATCTGATGAATCAGCTATCAATTGGAAGCCATGGGATCTTTATATATGGCATGAGTATGAAAAATTAGAGAAGGACTTTAAGATTCCAAACGATTTTCAAGATCTTCAACTTATTCGTCATGATTTTAGTGGTTTTCTCAGAAGGTTGTTTGAATATCATTGTTTAGTTACAGCAGAGATGAAGGTAAATGGTTCCACTTTTTTCGAAAATACGGATGAAATTCCAGGTTCAGCTAGATGTTATGCAGTTACAACATTGCTTAATTCGATATTGAATAACAGTAAGACTCTTGAAACATTATATCCTGGTTTAGCAGCTTTCATCGATTCTAAATTACCAAAACAAAGTCAAATCCAGAAAACCTTATTACCCAAATTGGATGATAGTCGATCGTTAGAGGTTGGGGAACGGATCAGTAACATCATCAGAGAAATGATATCTTTTGAAAATAATGTTTTCCATGATAAATTTACATCCCATTCTAGAATGCATTCAGAAATAAACTCTCCGATGAAGGATTGGAAAATTATTATATTGCACAAAAAACCTTTCAGTGAGGAACAAATACGAACAATAAGATATCAATCACGAATATTCACCCAATTTACAAATACCTTTGAAAGCATTGATAAGATAAGTTACTCAATTTGCGTAGAAAAAAAAATGATTGATGAGGATACCATAATTTATTTATACAAAATGAATAGGGAAAAGAAATCTTCTTTATATAACATGATGGCAGAAATTATGAAAAATCCCGATATCAAAGATGTACCAGAAAAGTAAATAGTGTAGTGCATCTTATATAATGAAAATCATGTAATTAATATATATATCTTATGAGTATTGACATTCTTTTTTAATTTTAGTGAATAGATATTTTTCTTTTCTTTAAAATTGAATTTTTTCTAAGAAGAATGGTTCCTGGTTATTCTTCTTTATCCAAACAATTCTATCAATGACAGTATCAGCAATAATAAACTGTTTAATACCCCAATTTCCTTTTCCAAAAACGTCAGGTAATTTTTGAGTCAAATGTGGGAATAATGTTTTATAAAAGCTCATATATTCCACTACATCATCCTTCTCTACTACAATATTTGATGCAACTTCCTTGAACGTTGTAATTATAAATTCAGGGACCTGATACTCTAATTTTTTATCAAGCATATCTTTGTTGGAAACTCTAACTATCCATAGCATTAATGCTTTGTTCAACACACCTTTGGATATCAAATCTTCAAATTTTATCACACCAAAAGTTAATAACATAGCGTTAGCGAAGATTTTATCACTTTTAAAGATTGTTTTAAAAGATATAATATTCTTCTGTGGGATGCTTTTAATAGTAATTTTCTGTTTCTTAGCAAGAGCCTCCATTGTGTAGTTTAAAATTTTTCTTTGAGAGCTTAGGTATGATTTTAAAATTTGGATGAGTTTGTCATCACCCTTTAAATTCTTGGTAAGTTCTTTAACAGAATTTAATTTTGATGATAGAATATTGTCTAATTCATCAGAACCTTCTAGTACACTTCTATAAGTAAGGTTATCCTCTGATCTTAGTTTACAAAGAAATCCAAAGAGTTCAAATAATTCTTGCGGAAGTGGGGTTTTATAAGACAATTTGAACTGAACACAACCGGGGGTAATCAAATTTTCGGATGTTAGTTTGATTCCTTGTTTTTCAGTTGCATTTTTTAATAAAGCATCGTCTAATTTTAAAGTCAGTCTACAATAATCGTACTTATTTGCTTCTTCGACAAATCCGTAACCTAATAATAATTCTTCATTAGATTTATCACCGTAATTATTATATAATTGATCATTTGGGTTTTCTTTCTTATTACTAAAATTCTCCTCATTTGAAATAAAGTTCACTTTATTCTCAGAAAATGTCCATCTTGTCTTGGTATCATTCTTGTGATTTAGTAAATCTATAATAGGCATTAAGAATGCTTGATTGATATTTTCACAATCGGAATTCATAACAATCTCAGGGAATGCTCTGGAGTTGAATATACAAAAGGACCACAAGTAAGCGAAAAAACTATTCCAATGAATCAATTGTGTATCTTCATTTAAACGTTTCAAGGAGAGTTGGATATAATCAAAGACAATATTCAATGTGACTTCGTTGTTAAGATCACGATCGTTTTGAAATAGGAAATTGTCAAGATCATCATTGAACGGTTTAGATTTAGTTACTTTGAGTATAGCTCTCCATTCATTTATTAAATTGGTTAGATTTTGTTTTACTATAACAAAAATATCAGTTTTTTTCAAAAATTCGATGTTTTCCTTCGACCAAAAATATGGATGAGTAAGATGAATTGGAAGAGTATCTAAATAACTCTTGAAGAATTTTTGTTTAGATAACAAAGTTTCAGATTGAGACACTGTTTGGAATTTCAATTGACAAAGATATAGTTGTGTTAAAGCATTTGGATTAGAGATCTGTATTTCAACAGTTTCGTCACCAAATGCTTCTGATGCTAATTTTTTTGTAATGAGTAAATCTGATGGAATAGAGATCAACTTTTTATCATTTAGGGAGTCTATTTTCCCAGAATTTGTTAAAGTTGCATGAACACCATTAACAACATCTATCTTAAATTCAATGGAGTCGTCTATGATGGAGCCATTTTCTTTGGACCATTTGAGCAAACTATTCAATCTTTCTGTTTCCATTATTATTATTCGTCGTCTTCGTTCTAAATCAAATAAAAAGATAAATAATAAGTAAAATACGAACTAAAAAGAATAGTCAAATTATGATTCTCAAACCTTTTTTAAAAAAAGAAAAATCTCAACACGTTCAATCTAATCTATAGTGAAAATGGAAAAGGTGCATTTCCCAAAAAGGTTCTTCAATGTTGCGTATTCATCCATCTCATTGTTTAATTTTTCACTTTCCTAAAGGGTTCTATGAAAAAATAAAATTGAAAGTAGAAGAAAAATTCAACAGAGATTTACTTGAATGAGAGATGTCGCGATAAGTTCTTGTGGCTAACTGAGTCAGTCAGTAAAGATAGTATTAAACAAACCGAATTTTGACGGTTAAACTACATGGTATCAAGGCTATATGGTTCATCGATGTTCTGGACAGTAAAATCTCTGAGAGAATATTTCTAATTTACTGGATAATTTTCTATTAAATTGCCTCCATTGTTTGTCAACATACAAAAATCAAAGTTAAAATTCATTTAGGCCAAGACATAATCATTTACAATATTTTTTTGAAAATAAAACAAGGAAGATACGTTATTATAACTGGGAGTTTTTTTAACCATAGTCATTTCAATAGAGACAGTTGTTGAAACTGTTATAATGTAACTCATTTGTTGTAAGGATTATGATATACCTTTACAATTGAATACTCTGAAGAAATACATGCAGTTTACATTGTTGCCAAGCTTATTCTAAAATTCACAATATGAATCTAACCAATCATGCCATCGAGAATGGTACAATCCTTGACCTAAATTAAGTTTTCGTTACTATATTATTAAATGTTCAAACTGCACCTTATTTTATGTAAGTAACTGGTTCCCTTAATCTCTAGTAAAAATGAATTACTTAAATACAGCCAAAACAAACAAACCCACTGAACAGAGTAGCTAAGTAGCAGTATACAAAGTAATCAGGTCTTACCCCTGTAATTTACTGTCTTATGTCTTTAACTCAGGAGTAAGTGCAATTCTTTGACAAGATTGAAGTAAAATGTATGTTTGTTTGTGTGTTTCTCTCTTTTCTCTCTTTTCACTCTTATTTTTTCCCCGGATGATATGCAACTAAGTAGAAACAAGTAGGGAAACAAAGCAAACTGGTTTTGTCCAGAAGTGCACCTGGTCAAGCCTTAAGGTTTTGCTTGACCAGGTGCACTTTGGTGAAAAATATGCATCTTCAACGATGAGACACTAACTATCGCTAGAAGTATGGGGAAACTTAGTAACTTCACTATATTTCTAGTAGTAGTAATTACGATGACTACCTCTATGGTTGTTTATTTTTATTTTTTTTCACTGTTCATGTATTTGAATAACTCAGTAATGCTACTATATCTATTGAATAAGTCAAGCAGTTAATTAATGATGAGTACTTAGTACTTTCAATGATTGTAAAATAAAATTAACAACGATCGTATATCTTGTTTTGTTACATCTAGAAGACTTAATTTATTCATATATATATAAATCGGAAGTCTGATTATATATTCTCTTGGGATGAGATGTTATTATTCCCATCGTTATATTTAAATTTCAAAATAAATTCATTTAATTCTGCAGTAACAAGGTTCATCGATAAGCTATACATTAGACTAATATTCATTATGAGTGCTAGATCCAGTATGGAAAATATTGAGACACATGTCTATAAGAATGAATTGACGGATAAGGTCGTCGATAATGTTAATACTAATCGGACCTCTGCAGTAGTTGAGATTGATGATCAGGATACTAATGAACCTCCAACTAGTAAAATAATGGAGAATAAAAACAAGAATCTTATGATTAGGAAGACAGAATTAATGTCTTCAGTTTGTGATAAATGGTATCAACATGTACTATTGATTTTCTGTGCTTTCGTATGTGGGTATGGTTATGGTTTAGATGGTAATATTCGTTATATATATACAGGTTATGCCACTTCATCGTATGCTGAACATTCATTATTGTCTACCATTAATGTCATTAATGCAGTAGTTAGTGCAGTCTCACAGATTATGTATGCTAGATTATCTGATGTCTTTGGTAGATTATCTTTATTCATTGTGGCAATAGTGTTATACGTTGTTGGTACTATCATACAATGTCAAGCATATGACGTTCAAAGATATGCCGCTGGTGCAATTTTCTATAATGCAGGTTATGTCGGTGTTCTTTTGGTTTTATTATTGATTTTATCAGATTTCTCCTCTTTGAAATGGAGATTATTTTATCAATTCGCTCCAACTTGGCCATTCATTATTAATACATGGATCTCCGGTAACATTACATCAGCTGCTAACCCTATCAAGAATTGGTCATGGGATATCGGTATGTGGGCTTTTATCTTTCCATTAACATGTATTCCAATTATTTGTTGTTTGTTATATTTTAGATGGAAAGCTGCAAAGACACCCGAATGGGAAGCTTTGAAGCATGAAAAGAGTATGTATCAAGAATTTGGGTTGACATCTACCATTAAACAATTGTTTTGGCAATTAGATATTATTGGTGTCATTTTGATGGGTGCTTTCTTGGGTTGTATCCTTGTCCCATTAACATTAGCCGGTGGTACTCAATCAAAGTGGAATGATGGTCGTGTCTTAGGTCCATTTGTCCTAGGCTTTGTTTTAATTCCATTCTTTTCATTTTGGGAAATTAAATACGCCAAATATCCATTAGTGCCAGCTAAATTAGTCAAGGATCGTGGTGTTTGGGCCGCCTTAGGTATCTCTTTCTTGATCGATTTCATTTACTATATGGCTGCAGATTACTTGTACACAGTGTTAATCATATCAGTTAATGAATCGGTTAAGTCTGCAACAAGAATATCCTCATTATCATCGTTTGTATCAACCGTGGCATCACCTTTCTTCTCATTAATGTTAACAAGATTCACAAGATTAAAGCCATTCATCATTTGTGGTTGTTCTTTGTGGTTCTTAAGTATGGGGTTATTATATCATTTCAGAGGTGGTGCCGAGTCGCATTCCGGTATTATCGGTGCCCTTTGTGTATGGGGTATAGGTACTGTGTTATTCACATATCCAGTCAATGTCTCATGTCAAGCTGCAACTAACCATGAAAATATGGCTACTGTTACTGCATTGAATTATACCCTTTATAGAATTGGTTCAGCTGTCGGTGCAGCTGTCTCTGGTGCAATTTGGACTCAAAAATTGTATGGACGAATCTTAAAGGAAATGGGTGATGAAACATTAGCTAAAGCTGCATATTCCTCTCCTTATACTTTTATTGTCACATATACATGGGGCACACCGGAGAGACAAGCAATGGTCGAAGCATATCGTTATATTCAAAGATTAGAGACTGTAGTGGCATTGGTTTTCTGTGTTCCATTAGTGGCATTCTCCCTATGCTTGAGAGACGCTAAATTGACAGACAGTGTTGCTCATGACGATATTTCAGAAGGTGAATATGTTGATAAGAAATCTGATGATCCAATTGGTGAATTCTTTGGTCGTATGTTCCGGAGAGGTAAGAACGACAAACATTCTCACAAGAGTGCCACAGATTCATCTACTACAACAGACAGTCATAAGACAGAATCTTTCGATGAAAAGAACTCTCTACACAAGGCGTCGATCATTAATATTCACATATAATTAATGTAGTTTTTTCCATCTTTTTGCATATGCATTCTATTGCTCTTTTTATTTTTTTTCAGCCTTCAGTAAGTATAGTAAATAATATAATAATGATAACGTAAATAAAGGACGGTATAACCTATCAGTAATAAATTCAAAAAGAGTAAAGGCCAATTAAAGGCTTATGGTTTTGACTGTTTTTATTTCATTTGTTTATTCAATCTCCATACACTATTAAATTTCTGTGATTTAGAAAAGGTTCGACTATTTTTCCTCTGAAGTGTTTTCACATCACAGAGTCATCGCGGGATTTGTACGGTCCGTTCTGTGAAAGTTTGTAGTTGCACCCCATTTTGCTACAAGTACATATGTAATCTTACCAAGCTCGAAAGGAATATACAATATATATAAACAAGGTATTTATATGATTCAGTATTTTGATCTAATCATTTCTACTCTAGAATTCAAACTGCCAGGGCTAATATGTTTTCTTTTTCGATATAAAAAGATGTCGAAATTATTTGGGAACTTACTTTTTTTCATTATAAATGCATCGTTGATCTATGCCAAATTTGTAAAGAGAGACACTTTGGAGAGAAATTCAGTATTAGGCTGTGCTTTCCAGTTATCTAAGATCCAAAATTGGGATCATAAAGATTCCTCGACGGACCAGTTTTATTGTTCTGTTTGCAATTATATTCCTGCTTTACAGTCATGGGTATTTTGTATATCTGATACTGTTAACAGACTCAGCGAAAACAAAGATAATGCAGCATTTAATAAAAGTATTGTGGACTTGAAAAGGACATGTTCTTCAATCAATCCTATAATTAATAATATGACAATATCAGAGTACTACGATATGCTAAACAATGCATCACAATATATACGGCGAAATTATCCTTCTAATAATGCGGATGGTCTTATTAATTATCCAATTTATATGAATAGCACAATGGTAGATCCTATCATCAATGCATATCACAGCTTCTTTAATAATATGGACCTAAGTAATTTTTCCGTTTATTATTACTATATCTTCTTTTCTTTTATTTTTTTCACTGCATCAATGATTAATTACCTAAATCACAGTAACAACTTGAGATATTTTTCCAAGTGGAAATCATGGTGTAAGATTAAGGGACTCCTTTTGAGATGTCTTTACAGCGGATATCACACTGAATATATTAAATTTTTGGGAGATGGTTTTATCGGTTTATTGCCGACCAGATTAGAAACAACCATAATTATAAATTATGCTATTTTAAATGGAATTATGCTTGCGGTTGGTTATAAAATAGATCCAACAAACTCGTTATTTAAATCATATCCTCAACAGATTTTGCGACTCGTCGCTGATAGAGCTGGTATCTTGGCCTTTGGAAATCTTCCAATTATATTTTTATTTGGTACCCGGAATAATTTATTGATGGGACTCACTGGTTTCAATTTTACAACATTCATTTCCTTGCATAAATGGGTAGGTCGTGTCATGATAATTAACTCTTTGATTCATTCCGCGTGTTATCTCTGTTATTCAATATTTTCTGGGTCATTTGTATTTAGTGATCTTGAACTGTATTACAAATGTGGCATAGTGGCAATGATTTTATTACTGTTACTGTTTTTCCTATCTTTAGGTTATATTCGGAAACATTATTATGAAGTGTTTTTGTACACACATATAGTTTTAGGTGTTGGATTTATGGCGGCATGTTGGAAACATGTTGAAAACCTTGGGTGGAAAAATTGGTTGATTATTTCAACTGTAATGTGGGTAGCAGAAAGATTGGCAAGAATGTTTAACATTATATCTAATGGTGTATTTTTAAGCTCAAAGCTTTCCTTGATTGGAACTAATGATAAAACAGATGACAATTTAATCAGGGTTTCGATCCACAAAAAGCATATGAGGCCTCTTAAACCTGGTCAATACTTTTTCGTGTATTTCATGCATCCACTGATATTTTGGCAATCCCATCCGTTTACAGTCATTGATGTAATACAAGAGAACAAAATCATTATAGTCTTGAAGCCTAAGAGTGGTGCTTCGAAAGTCCTTTATGATTCTTTAAGAAAGAATCACAATACCATCGATATCAAAGTTGCTTTAGAGGGCCCATATGGACATAGTGCTCCCATATACCACGCAGATAATATTCTATTGATAGCAGCAGGAACTGGTATACCTGGTCCATTGTTCCATGCCATGGATCTAACGAGTAAATTGCAAGGCCATGCAAATAAGAGGATTAAGTTGGTCATTATTATAAGAGACAAAATTATTTTGAATGCATTTAAAGACGAAATTCTAACACTACGCAACAAAGATGTTGCTGTAGAGGTATTTTTAACAAGAGAGAGATCGACAAAGTCAGTTTCGAGTCATCACACTGAACATACCTCACTTTTACAAAGAAATCTTGACATTGAAGATATAAAGACATTCACTAAAGTTTCCTTTGGTAGACCTGATATGAAAAATATCATTTTATCTTGTGTAGAACCAAATAAAAACCTAGCAATTCTTTCATGTGGGGCCCCCCAATTTGAGGATTCGTTACGCAATATTACATCCAATATAATTATGGGCCACTCAGAGTCTCATATTGACTACTATGAAGAATTTCAGCGTTGGTAACACAACATAGACTCAAAAAAACAATATCATACCTGCTTCATAAAGTATTTTCTCTCAGATGATTTGAAATATAAATATTTTGTACCAACCCTATTTATCTCAATACATTTAACGATTATTGCATATTCTTAAAATTTAAATAAAAACGCCAAGACTAGATCTTGTTTGTCGATATAGTTCGTTTATTGTATTTTTATGGGGAATTCTTAACGTGAGCATTTCCATTGGCCTTCGTTTGAAATGTTGATTATTAAAGAATATCGAGATATTGTACAAAATATTTGAAACTATAACCTTTCCTATATGTTTATTTATGTTTATAAAAACCTGCGAAATAGATAAATAGGAGGAATTGCAAGGTGCAATATAAAATTTGACTTGTGTTATTTAAAATCCTAAACGACGATATTTTATTTTGTTCTTGTTTAAGTTTCGATAATATGGAACATGGAAATGTAAAAAAAAAAAGGACAAAAAGAACAAATAAGGAAAAAGAAACGATATCTATCAGTGATGAGTTATTTTCTTCTTAAAATCAATCGAAGAAAAAAGTAGAATACTAGATCTTCGTTAGGCATCTAAGATATCTCTTTACGTGTAGAAGTTGCATACAGTTGTCGTCTGTTGGTGGTCAATCTAATCTGATCTATAATGGTTCCTGAAGATTGTCGCCCGTCATCAAGAGATTCGTGCCTATTAAAATATTTCCTGAGTAGGTAAAAAACAGAAGGAGATGATACGCTGAAAGACACATTTCTCTTTTATGACAGGTTACCACAGGTTTTCCCGTAGGAGAGACATGTCAGAAAAGAATAACTGTTGAAGCTTCCGTCGCGGAAGCATCAATCGCGGATCTATAAACGAGAGATTTGGAACTGAAAAAATAATGGCACCTCATCGAATAATAATATTAAAATCAATCATAAACGAACAGAAGGTACATGTGTCTCATTTGCGCATATATCTCCATCGTTGCTGTGCCGCTTATGATTCCATGATTGAAACTTCTCTTAATCCAGCATAGAATTTTCATTCGTTTTAGGTAGAACTTGAAAGTGGGGGGAAGAGCTTTTGGTGGTCCCTGATTAAGTGGTTCGTCGTAGAACTTTCGTAGAACTTTCGTAGAACTTTCGTAGAACTTACATAGTAAATGTCAATGATCATTGCTACATTTTACGAAGTTTAATTTTTTATTTGTTTGTCTCTTTTTAAGAATAGAAAACCGTTCTTACCATTTTATTTACCTACTTCTTCACTTTATGATTGTATCTTCACCCACACGTTACTTCTGTTGTTTTGGAGAATAGATAATCGCTAAATTGGGGAATTAAAAGAGAAATGCAAATAAACTTGATAGTAGTCCAGTATGGTGACATACGAGCATGGTAAGTTATCTAATACATACAAACTACGAACAAAAGAGAATATGTTGAGTTTTGTAATGTTCATTAGTAGCTATGACATATACTTCTTTTTCAATGTGGTTTCAAGACCCTCTGTAATCACCAACGTGAATTGAAATTTTTCGATGATTTTTGCCAATTAATTATATCATTATAACAAGTTTCTTTATTATATAAAAGAGAGACGGTTAACCACGCTATAAGAAGACTAAATAATTTGATGTTTTTGGGTTGATTATGTGTACTTCTTATTCCTTTATTTTTTGATTTTTTGATTCCTTTTTTATCGTCTTTTTTCTTACCTCTCAGTTCTTACAGTATAACGATAATCCAAAATAAACAGATATGGGTACCACAACTTCAAAGACTGCAGTCACAACTACCTCCATAACAACGACTACCCCAATTTTGGTTCCAACAACTTCATCTACTACAAGTACTACGCCAACTACATCTTCTACTACTAGTATTACTACAAGTTCGGTTGAATCTGTTGTTCCAACCTCCTCTTCCATTACATACACTACTCTATCGTCCGATGTTTTATCATCTGCATTATTATCCTATTTGAGTTCTTCCACCATATCTGAAGCGATAGGTTCCTCTGGTTCTCTCCTTGTTCAATCATCGAGTTTCATCTCTTCAACTTCTGAAGAACCAGTGAGTTCATCGGTATTTAGTTTGAATTCTGCTCCATTGTCCAGTGTTTTGTCAAGTGTAACTACTTCAGAGTATGCATCTTCTCTAAACACAGTGTCGAGTTCACAACTATCTGACGTTTACAGTAGCTCTGTTACTTTATCATCTTCTTACGCCGAAACATCTTCAACTGTTGAAACGTCTTCTACCACTGTGTCATCTACTACTGTGTCATCTTCTAGTATAATTCCATCTTATACAGTTGAGTCATTTTCCACCATTGAATCACCTTCTATTGTTGAATCGTCCTCAACAGTTGAATTGTCCTCTAGTACTATCCCTTCTTCAAGTACTGCATATACAACAAGTTCATCTACATCACTAGTCAGTTCTACCTTGCCGGATACTATAGTAGCATCACCTGATCCAGTAGTGAGTTCAATGAACGGCATATCGGCTATTGATATTAGAATTGGAAGTGAAACTGATGTCAATACTTTGCTATCGACTATTACAGAAAGTGCTACCACTACTGAAAGAACTACTATTACTGATTTTGCTACTGTCACAGACACTGCAACCATTACTGCCGTTTCTACTGTTACCAGTACCAATACTGTTACCGATGTATCCACTGTTATCGACACAGAATATATCACAGATACTACCACAAATTATGTAACTTTAACTAATACAGCTACTGTTACTGCTCTGTCTACAGTTACTGATGTTACTACTGCTACGGTTACCAACACTGAAACTGTAACCGATTCAACTACTGAATATGAAGTTACTACTCAAACAGAATTATCAACAGCTACTGATACCCTTACAAATGTAGAATTATCAACTATTACCAACACTGAAACTGTTATTGACACTATCACTAACACTGTCATGGATACCGACACTGTCACTGAAACAGCTACTGTTACAAGCGAAGAAACCTCCACTATTATTCAAACTAATACCCAAATGGTCACTGATACTGATACTGTCACTGATACTGTTTTCGGTACAGTTTCTGAAGTCTCTACTCAAGTTGTTACGGAAACAGAAACAGAAACAGAAACGGAGACAAAGACAGACGTTATTACAAGTGTTGTTTCTGATATTTCTATCCAAATTGTTACCAAAATGGACACAATTACTGAAACAGTTACAAATGCAAAAGCTATCGATGCTGAGTCAGAAGCCCTTGCAACGTCTTCTCTTAGTAATCGTTCAGTAATGAGTTCATTCCTTAGCAGTTCATCAATGATTACCACTCCACTTAGCAATTCAGAAATAAAGACACAGCTACCAACCAGTACATCGATAAGTTCTGTTGACGTCAAAGTAGTTAGTTCCAATAACACTTTTATTTCGTCAGACAAGTACTCAATGGAAATTAATCCATTTAGTACAACGGATCTATCATCTTTAGTTTCTACCCATCCCAGTGATTTAATTTTTACATCTACGAATTCAACCTTTTCCTCAACTCGTTCCGCTGATCCAGCTTCCATCGGTCCAACTACTACGGATCCAACTTCTGTATCCGGATTGGACGCTATCAGTACAAATATGAGGTCTTCATCAGTTGCAACAATTATTGCTTCTATTACATATCACAATAATAATACATCGACCATTGATGAGAGTAGTGTAAAGCCAACAATATCAGATGATGATATTAAATCTACAATCAATTCAGTTTCCAAAATTACGGAAGGATCACTTTCTGATAGCGGATATAATTCAACGGTGTCTGGTAAAACTACGATTCTAGCGCCTGATCAAGGTGTTACCACAACCACATTAAAAGAAACTGATGTTGAGTATACAACAACTTGTCCGGAATCAAGAATAAAGGTAGTATCTAGCAATTCAGCACACGTGTCTCAAACCAACAACATTTTGGTTAAAACTGTAACTGTTGATTCTTTAACAACTGTGGTAACGACAACATGTAATGGGAGTTGTGATGCTGATGATAGTTACACCGCTGAAGGGACAAAATCTGAAGTGCCCACCATCGATATCAATCCTGCTAGATCAACAACAATTTCAAATGTGTCACGTTCAACAACTGACGTAGAACAATCCGGATCTGACATGAAAACTGCGAATGAAAACAATTCATCAACTAAAACATCTAATATTGTAAAGAACGCTTCTTTCCACGATGTACCAACTTCGACTAATAAGAATGAAAATGTAGGTGCAGCTTCATCTACTAATGTTATAGAAACCTCTCAAAATGTTAACTTCGGTAATGTCGATACAACTGCAAAGTCATCCATTATTCAATCGAAGGCTCTAGCTTGGAGCACAGCTTCGTCATCTGGTGCAGTAGTTTTCTATTCGGATAATGTCGCAGCGAAGAGAAATAATATCGGAGCCAACTATTACGGCTCAAGTTTGTTCGTCCTTGTATTAATATCCTTGATATAGGTAATTTAAGTAATTATAGATATACACAATATATTACCTAATTCAATAAAAGACTTTTAAAATAATCTTTGGAGGGAAATTAATGTTTATAAAGATGAAATTTTGACAGGTATATTGTCAAATGATGTTAAGTTTGTAACAAATCCTTAAATTTTGATTTGTTTTTCTTGAAACCGGCCGCACCAAATTCGTATTTGTTTACATGAACATGTTATATTAGGGAGGAAAGTTATTTTATGCTTTCGAACCATGACGATTTACGATAAAGGTATATTCAATTGCTCCAAATAGAAATAAATACCTATAAATAGAAACTTTTATGTTGAATTTAAAGCTTCCTCTTTGTTTAATTTATTCTGTTTCTTTTAAAAATCTTATTTTTTAACGTTTTTGTCTAGTTATTAACTTTTTGTTTACACTAGATGGGCATATACGGTATTTCTCACTTGGTACCAAAATGTAAAAAATTAAATATTGTTGAAAAAATTACAAACTAATATATCTTCCATATATATTTTATTCACTTTTCTGTTGTTTGCAATAAATTATACCATTCCTTTTCATAGGCCTTTACATTACGTTCCAGCTCTACTTCCGCTCGCCTATCCTTCTCCCGCTCCACCAACTGGACCTAGACTCAGGCAGAAGACACTTAGACGCACTCATATGGAATCCCTCTTAGACCCTCTCTATATTCATTTCTTTCTACAAAACTCCTGCATTGATGTGATCATAATTATATGTACTATGTATTAGACACTGACGGTTTAGTCCGTGATCGTTTGTTTATAAACTAGTTTATATATATATATATATATATATATGATATTGTTAGTAAAATGTAATGATGAGTAGTAAATGTATACAAGTAACAACATACCCATATTCTGACTTGTAATGGTGTGATACCACACTCCATTGCCACAATCTGTCTTTCTTCCCTGGTGATCCACTGTTTCTTTTCAAATACTTTTTCCAAAAATTCTTTAGTACTCTTACTAATAGTGGTTCTCTTACGTTTCTTTGGTACAACCAGAAGGTTGTAGTTATCGTACAACCTTTTTAAAAGTTCCTTCTTTTCATGCAAACTAAGTCCCGAATCAAGAAATGTCCCTAAAAGCAAGATGTCCTTGATCAAAATTGATGGAAAGCATAGAAAATGGGATTAAAGGAATCAATTTGAAGGTTATAAAGTCTAATTTTTGATTTGTTTACGAAATTTGTTTACTTTTCAAATGCAAGAATGAAGAAAAAACGAGATTTTTTATGACGTTAATTTTTTGATGTAATTCCGTATTTCCTAAAACGGAAAAATCTCCTTCGAAAATTCAATAAACAAAACACATATACAATGATTTCAAAGAAATAACTTGAAAATATCGATGGGTTAGTTCCTCCCAATAGAAGATGCGATTGTATTTTGATAATAACAACAGAAAAAATATACCGTACTCCAAAATTGAATAATTTCCAATTGGGAAGATTCACATTTTTATTGTTTTTCTCCTTCCTAGGTTGAGTTAAAAATAAAGAAATATCCATTTATTAATTATAATTATTTATCTTTTGTATCATTATATATATAAAGAGAGATGGAGAAAGGTAAGGCTAAAAAAAACAGGCAAACTTAATATCTTTCAACTTCAACATGATCACCCTTTTTAGCAGAAGATTCAATGAAAGCTGCAACACAAGCCAAATGATGGAATGCAGCCCTTGGAGAAGAAATCAATAGAGACTTATCCTTCTTAGCTACAGCATCATGGAAATTCGTGAACTCCTCGTAAATACCGAAGGATTTATCTTCCTTAACGTTGTAGACTTCTTCTTCACCAGAATGTTCTGCGTCGCTACCGACCTTAACTCTAACAATTGGGGCAGCCTTGTTATTTAGTTCAATCATGATGGAACCATTGACACCATAGATCTTCAAATAGATCCATTTGTCAGTAGCACCGAAGGCAGACCCATAACTGAAGGAACCAATACATTTTGAGTTTCTAATCTTAAGCGTGGAGAATACGATATCATCATCACCTGAAGCCTCACGGACTTGACTAGTTAAAGCAGAAATAGATTCAATTTCACCTACTAAAGCTGTAACCAAAGCTAATTGATGAACACCACCATCAGATAAAAATCCACCGATATGTTCTGGATGTTGTCTCCAAGAAGTAGCCATATATTTGTTATTTAAAACAAATGGACCTGTGGAATTATGTTGGAAACCAACAACTTCACCAATACGTGGCAAATGTTCTCTTGCGACATTGATAGCTTGTAAGAACGACCAATTTTCAGAGATAGCAATTGGTAAATCAGTAGATTCAGCGACTTCAACCAATTCTCTAGCTTGTTTCATATTAGCAGCAATAGGTTTTTCAATTTGGACTGGTTTACCAGCAGCGACACATTTCTTAACAGCATCCAAGTTGAATTGAGCAGGTAACAACACATCTACATAGTCGACGTCCTTGTCGTTGATCAAGGAATCCATATCATCGAAGACTTTTTCTTCTGGGAACTCAGCAAGTTTAGCAAAGTCTAATGCTTTGGACTTTGTGCTGTTGAAAGCAGCAACAACTTTGAACTTGTCAGGATGATCTTGGAAGACAGGTAAATGGCCGTCTCTAGCAAATATACCAGTACCGACAACACCAATGTTTAAAGGAGACATAATTGGAAAAATTATATATTTTTATTGAGAAATTGATCCGATGAATATATGTGTGTATGATAATCTACACTGTTTAGTCTTCTTGGGATGAAAATACAAGGATATTTATCTGTTGAGTGAAGGAAAATGTGTCTGATACTACCTTGTTTATATAAGAAATAATAATAGGAACAGGGTATTTATCTAGATATATAGCAAGGACCTACAAGACTGCCCCTCCTTCCCTCCTTTCCCCTTTCCGATCTCTTCTCTTGCTGTCCGTCTCACAGCGTGAGTGCGAGTCTGTGGGGACCATCTTGGTCGGGCTACCATACCCCGCGAAAGTGCAACCAGACAGTCAAAATTTGTTTTGGGCGGGTGGGAACGGCACTCAGAGAGACGAACGGAGACGAACGGAGAGCGGAGTTAAAAATGGAGAATGGGAACGTTACAGTGCGAGAGTGGCGGCGTTAAGAGAGGAGATAAACAGAGACTTCATTAGGGTGAATTATATAGTATACAATTTTATGGTGAGACTTTTTTCTTTTTACTATGACCATGGTGCTGGGTGGCGGTATTATACACATATTGTTTATGTAGCTATAGATGATGCTAGTGATGATGTTTATGGTCGAACTAGCTTGGATAATGGTGATGTTGTGAGTAGTCGGATGACGTCGTTCATACTTCAAAGACACCGGGGAAAATGCGAAAAGTTTCTTAAGCTACATGATAGAAAGAAGATGCTAGCTCTATTCATGTTCCCCATTGCAATCAGTCACCTTAGTCTGTCATTTTTGTTATTCTAGTTGAAGTTGTATTTGTAGTCTCTTGCCTATATATTTTGTATGCTTTTTTTTTTTTTTTTTGGTTGG